GTAGCAGGTAAGATGGGTGGAGTCAGGCAGATTGTAGCAGCCGAGTTACTGAATAGGAATGAGTTAGAGATGCTTAGCTTTTGAGAGCATCAAGACAATCATTATGCTTTAGATTTGTCTCCATTGCTCTTTGTTGTAATACACATTTTGAGTCTATAAAATTAGGTGCCAGGATGTGGTTATGTACAAAACATATCTGTTATCTGTTAGCCCTATGATAGCTTTAACAAACAACCCACAGAATATGTGTTTAAGCTCCTGTGAGGAGTTGTTAGCCATTATGAAACAGGCTGAAATGAATACTGATTCCTCCATAAATCCTCTATATGATTTACAAAAGCAAAGGTGACCATCAGCAACTAGAATGGTCATTTGGAGGTGTAAATTATGTCACAGAGTTTTGGTTTATTTCATTATGGAAAATGATTATTTAGTCTGAATTTTACTTCGTTTTACTCAAAAATAATTTAGACAACAAATGTCAAACGGGCCTTTTAACCATTTAACTGCTTATATTAGACAATAGAATTGACACAACAAAAAGGAAAGATTCGGTAACATAATCCTGAAAACAGGTTCAAGGAGGCTTATGCATGGGATAAAAACAATATTTCAGGGAGCGCAGATGGCCTAGTGGTTCGGTCATGCTTCATGTAGGGAACATACGGGTATTGTCCACAAATCCTGATTTCCTCTATCCACTGTCCTATCAAATAAAGACAACTAGTCCAAAAATAAACACAAAAAAACCCAACAATTTTCAGGTTGTGAATTTACCAAATTCAATTGCACCTGCTTATTATTTCATCTTGCACCTGCTGTCTGTTAACAAACCAGGAGCATATTTAGACCTCCAGCATTAACAGTCAGAGAAGAAGAAAGACATATATAAGCTTTAGGAGGATTCAAGATTTTGTGTACATTTCAGATAAAGAATTTTGATTTCAATTGGTCTTGTCTTCAGCCTTAGTCTAAAACACTTCAATGAAAACCTGCAGCCTTATAGTAGCCAGTTTGTTCAAAGTTGGTTGTCTTTGGTAGCTAGGCAGCAAGCTAAGCAAGTCTACCTGAAATATGTATAAAATCTTCCACAAACAAATGGAAAAATAAATTCATAAACTATAAATCACAATTTTCCCCAATTTCAGACACACAAATTGCCATAAAAGCCTTAATATATATTTTTTCTGCTACTAGTAGCTTGTGCGAGTTAATGCTTGCTAGCTACAATAAAGTGAACATTTAGCTTGACTCTATGACTTCTTTTTGCTTCAATAATGCCACTCTCACTATAGCAACAGTATTTACCATAATACTTACACTTTATTTTTTTCCATAGTGTATTTATTGTCTGACAAAGCCTAGTTTTTAGCCAGTAAGAAGTTTTTAAAGGCTAGTTAAAATGAATAGGCCTATTGGTACTGAACAACTTTTATTCTTTCTTCAACAACCTACTTTCAGATTTAATGCTCCGTTTAAAACAGCAATTTTCTGTTCAGTGGTTGTATTCATGTGGTATTTGCTTTATTATTTTCTTCAGAGGGTTTGAATTCCTCAGTTATCTCCTGGTGCTTGGTCTGGCCAGGCACTGCACCACCTTATCTCATTTCATGACATTTATGTTTTTAGGCTGCAACTCTGAGGTCAGTTTGACTTTATTTCACATTTTATACTGGCGTTCTGCTCTTGTGTTTAGGCTTGTGTTGCTGTAATAGCAGCTTTTTCTAGGAGAGACAAAGGCTCGGTTCAGATGTGATTGGGGAGTTTTTGCAGTAATCTGATGTCTGAAAACAACGGCAGTTTATTTTCATTCTTCGTGTAAAAATCCTCAGATGGTGAGTCATACAGAGAAAAGGAAAATGGCCAGGAAGACTGCGGTCGACTGTCTGCAGGCTACCAGCTGGAGCAGAGCCATGCAGATACAGATAGATTATCTGTACCTCTTTGCAGTACAGATAAAAGGGGACTTTTATAGATTTCTATCTGAGCAGATGAATAATGGGGGGCAGAAGGGTTCAGACTGCCAAGTTGGGTGAAATAGGCAGGCTTAAGGCTTATTTTATGCCACATTTAACAAAGATGAAATGGCCTGGGTTGAGATAGAAAAAAACCCTGAGTCATTGCCTTGTCAGTCCCCCCCATATAGCTTTATGTTTCCAATCCCAAAGTGTTGAAAAAAATGACCCCAAATCAATAAACTTTGATGAAAGTGTGTGAGTTTAACATTTTTACCTGGACTTTCTGACTTATCAAGCAGTCTTGCGTGCATCAAATATTATTGGGTGGATAAATTGTCCGTGGTTTTCTCAAAGTTGACACCACCATAACATTTATTAACTACTGTTGGTTTCATTAGTGTGTATCTGAGTGCAGAGGAAACAAGGTGGTTCACTCACTGTGAAGGGCTGCAGCGAGGGAAAAGTCAGGGCCAAGTCAAATGTCAATGAATAGGCCCATTGAATTTCCAAAGATAAATAAAAGGCCCCATTTTCAGCATTTAAGTGTAATTTTTCAGAAGCTCAAGACCAGTAGTTGATCTCCGTGACTCAGACGGTAACTCACATGGCCGGGTTATAAACTCTGTACGTGTTGATTTAACCGCGTAGAGATATTTGGGAGGTCAGACTGTGTGTCCGCATTTTGTACAAGGTTTCTGTGTTCGTCTTTTCCCTCCCCTGCTGAACTACCTCCTGACCTATAAATGTTCAAAGAAATGTGAGAAATTGCAGGCCGGAGTTTATCACATATTTTGTGCGTGGCTGAGAAAAGCCTGAAAAACTCAAGTTGTACAGTATGGTCATGTGAAACTAGTTGGTCTGACAGCTGTTAAAAGCACACAGGTTGTTAAAAAGACACGAAATAGGCTTTAGTGGCGAAATGGGTAAGTGTTACATCAGTGTGGCTCATTTTGGATGCGTTAATTGATGTTCAGTCAGCAGGTGATGGGAGCCGTTTAACTGGTAAAAGCAGCGATCAGAGCTGATGGTCACTCTGACTCGGGGAAATGAGGCGTGTGGGGATCAATACATCAATTAATGGTTTTTGGAAGTCATGTTTGCACTTAAGCGTTTTAACTTTCATCATGAGCTCAAAAGACTTCCTTCATGGGCCTGGACTGTGTGTGTGTGTGTGTGTGTGTGTGTGTGTGTGTGTGTGTGTGTGTGTGTGTTTGTGTGTGTAAAGAGGGAGTGTTTGGGAAAGGGTGAGTGTGTAGTTACATAATTCAGTGTGACACATCCTTAATACTGAAACAGTGTGTTAGATCTTTCTTTTAGTGAATTTAAAAGAAACTGCTTATTTTCATTACCGCTTAATTTCATATTTGTTCACCAACTCAGTCCTATTTAGAGGTAAAGACCTTTAATATGAGAGGAGTGCAGCCTGAAGTGCATCACATAGAAACAACAGACAAGACGTAGGAAGGGACATTGACGACAAGCACTAAAATGATGAAAAATTTAAACAAGAAATAGGTTATAAGATGATAATTTAAAAAGGATTTAATAATAATAATAAATATTATAATAATGAAAAATGTTACAGTAGAAATAAATAGTTTTAAGTTGAAAAAGACAAATCAAATTACAGAGATTGACTATGATAAAAACATTATGGTTCATGGTTAAATGATTTATCATTTGAGCTCATTGTCAGGAGAAAAGTACGACCCTGGTGAAGACCACAAGCTGAAACATGTCAGCCTAATAAAGTTATTTAAACTACAAGTATTGCTGCAGCTTTTTGACCATTTCAAGCCTTTCATAAAGCTTTTCATTCATCACGCACCCTGGAAGTTAGTGAAATTGTGCCAGAAAACCCCTACAGTCTGCTTCTACAGAAAGAAAGTGTGAAATCAGATCACACTGTTTAAACTTTATATTTAAATTCAGTTTGAAATGGAAACATTAAAAGAAAAATAGGACATCCTTTTAGATAGGTGTTGGATCTCAACTCACCTACATATCTACATAGTTGTCATTTATTAAGATAAGAACACATTGTTTATTTATCACCAAAGAAGTCACAAGAAATAATGAGATTTTTATAGTTTTACTGATTACCTAAGGTTCATGTAAGGTTCCTGACACACATAAACTGAATGACTTTAAACAATTACAGGGCATGTAGGAAACGCAAAAAACAGCAACAGTGTTTTAGTGAGCTTAAAATAGATATTGAATCTAATTTTAGTCTTCGATCATAAATAATTAAACTGAATACTTAATCCTTTTCAGGCACCTGATCATGGCATTTTAATCTGGTTTTGCTCCGTGTGTCTGTGGCCTCTAAGTCACCTTCCTGTTTTCTAAACTCAGCAGTAGGCTACATCATGCATTTCATCAGCATCTGGTTCATGACACCAGGGATTTTGTTTTCTTTACAGATTTATCAAAAAAACATGATCTAGCATCAATTATTCTCACAAAGCGTGAAACACCATGAGTACTATAAAGAAATAAGATCCTCACAAATGACTTGAAGCTTTACTGTATGAGGAGCTGACCGCAGCCGGCTCAGTCAGTCGATCCTCTCTCTTAACACCCTCGCACTGTCTGGTGATTACTGTACTTCAAAACAAACGTCAGTCCCACTGAATGACTGTATTAAGCTTGGGCTCTTTGTCTGATCCAGGCCAGATGATCAGATAATTAGGCTAGTGAGTGTAAAGTTTGGTTTGGGGAATGTTCTGTCTTTTTATTACAACCAGATTTCCTTCACCAGGAACATTTTTAATGAGTTTCACCACATGTGTTTCTCACAAATCTGTGTTTGGTTTATCTCACTGACGGCTCCTGTGAAGCTTTGTCACTTATTGCTAAACATTATGTAATACACACATACAGTAGTGAAGACACTGCAGAATGTAAAATATAATTCATTAATATTATCTTGTTGTTCTTTTTAATATCAATGTATTCACTGTTCATTGTTCTTTCTCCCTGCAGCTTGCCTGTTCAGGTACAATGTCCTGTCCTTCGTCTACCTCATCTACCTCCTGCTTATTCCACTCTTCCCAGAGCCCACAGACACAACAATGCGGGGTAAGATCTTTTCAGCCGCTCTCTTTAAATCTTTAACATTTCTTTGACTTTCTGTCCGTCGCCTGGAGAATCTTGACTGTTTCCCAAAAGCCTTGACTTTGAATTGTAATATTGTTCTTTGTAATGTAAACCAGCCCTCCTCTGGGGGGCTTGAAACTCCTTGAAATCATGATGGATTTGGCGCATAGTTCAGTCCATGAAAGGTAATATCGGTTTGTATGGGCACGAGTCCATCTGTAATAATAATATAAAATGATTCAATGCCAGCAAAATCTGAGATAGAAAGACGTGATCCACAAGGGCCAGATCTGATGTCCACTTGATAAAAATTAACATTTTCGACTTCGGTTTTGTTAAAAAAAAAAACAGTTGAACACACAAGCTTGACAGTTGAGAAAAGAAACCCAATATAGAGCATGAAACATCCTTCATAGAAAATGGTCTGTTCTTGATAATAGCTCACCACTTCAGTTGCTCTGAAGGCTCTGTCGGTTCTTTAAATGGGTCTGATTTCTTAACACAATGATCTGAGTAGATTTGACAAGTGTTATTAGTTAGTCCACTGGATGTGAAAAGCTGTGGTTTTAGAGCTCTTTAATATTTTGGTTCAGAAAAGAGTTTAGTAAATTCAAATCTGGTGAATTAGCTTCCTCATCATCTCTTAGCGCCGCCTTGAAAGGAACATAAATCACCATGAACCTTTGAGGTTTATGAGAAGCGACTGAGAGAGGTGACTGTTCTTCTTACAGGTGATGAATGTGGGATTGCGGTCGTCAGCTTCAACCGCGCCTTTACGCCCTCCCCCTCACCACAAAAAATACTAAACATAATGTGGGTTTCTGTAGGAGACCACATGCAGTGTTTAATAATACATAGAGCCATATCGGTGGGGAAGGAGCAGCATTCAGCCCGAGAGGCTGTCTCTGCTCGTCTGCAGCTGAAATAACAATCAGGAAGTAAAGGAGGAAGGGAGGGGGAGGAGGGAGCGCAGAGTGGACCACTTACACTCTCATCAATAGTTAAAGAGAGAAATCTTCTAGGAAAGCTCAGCTGATAGCTGCTGACGTCGAACGTGGTTGGACACGTGACAGTGAAGTAAGAATTGAAATGGTATTTGTTAAATCCTCTGAGTCTAAAACATGACATTGGCCTTCAGCTTAAATGTCTTGTCCCCATAATAAAGATGATATAGTAAAGCTTCAATATATGATACTTTAACCCTCACTAAACATGACAAATCAAAATGGTTCAACAGTTTTAAATTCCTGGCAGAATCAGCTGTGGACGGTGACATACTCGTTTTGGGGTTTTCTGTCCACCATTCAAGTCCCATTCTAGTGAACACAACGTCTCAGGAGGATCTGCAAAAGTGTAAAAAAAAAAGAGATTTGCAGATCTGTGTACGCAGACCAACTTGTCCAAGAGCTGAAAACACACAGGAGATCAGTTGCATCTGAGGGGGGTTAACAATTGTTTGTCTGTTTATGTGTGAATTTTTAAAACTTTCTGCTGTGCAAGATCCAGAAATGCATGTGGTTAGGGTTTAAAATGAGTACAAAAACCCTCTCGGATTCTAGGATGATCCAGTTATACTTCAGACCCCACCAATGTATCAGTGTGTAAAAAAGTATTTGCCTTAAACTTTTTCTTTTTATTTAACCTTTATTTAACCAGGTAAATAACCCATTGAGATCAGGATCTCTTTCACAAGGGTGACCTGGCCAGGAGGGCAGCAGCACATGCCATAAAAGGATTACATGATAAAGAGACAGTTTACAAACAGAAGTTAAGAGAGAACAACAATTTACAATGTGCATATTGATTTACAGATAAAGTGCAGAATCTTGATCACAGATTACAGTTCAGAAACACAGGCACTGTCCAATTGTCTCGCATTTTTTATATTTTAAGATCGAGCCAAAGGCTTTAAGCAAAATGAGATCTGCCACTTTCAGGTCATTTTGGAGAAAGTTCCATGCGGACAATTTAAAAATACATACTTTGATTATGACAAAGTTTCAAACAAATGTCTAGTAAAATGAAATTATAAAGGGGTGACTTGTTAATCCTAAAATAATTGAAGATTAAGTTGTACATAAATCTTCATTGTCCCATAAAAAAGGATCCAGGCTTTTATATCGTCATGTCATATTTGGTGTTGCCGTAAATTAAGTGACATACAGAATTAAATCAATAAAGTTGATGTCAAATGTATATTTTTCAGTATTTTGACAAGTATCGCTGTTATTTACATTTTCTTTTCCTTTTTTGTTAATCATCGTATTTTTTTTTCAGTTCTTAAGTGTAACATGTTCTGCATTTTAAACAGAGGCCATAAGAGACTCTTTTTTTGTCTTTGAAGTGAACAGCTGTTCATGGCCCTTCTCTTGAGGTTGTTATAATTCTTACTGGTTCAGAGTAATTCACTGAAATCTGCATGTAGAGATGAGATTGCAGAAATGAATGCAATTATACTCAACATTTTTGCAGCTCGCTCAGCAGAAAGCACGGTGCAGGAGTCTCCTGAGCAGCAGGCTGGGGCTCTCCTTGAAGACGTGTTTATTGGCCTGAAAGGTGGCATTTTTATAATGTATATATAAGATTTTATAATGAAACCAGCAGAGAGAAAGTGATCACTGTATCTAACAAATTACTTAAAGGCTAGTTTATAATTAAAAATGTCAATGCTTTCAGGTGTATTTAATAGACGCCTTGAGCGCTTGTAATAATGTTTAAATGCTGCAATCTTGAGAGAAGACAATATGTCGCAAGAATAACGACTTTGGCTGAAACAAGTATCTAGTTCATCTGATCTCGAACCAAGTATACCGTGATGGATGTACAGTTGAATGTACTCCTGATTTCTGATGAATATCATTTGCAATAAAAGTTAAAAAAAATTTGCTGACCTGTCATGATAACAGATTGATTTTTGTCATCTCTTCCATAAAATTTGAACGAGACAGCATGCAAATGTTAGTAAATGGTGATCTAAAGGGGATCAAATCAGTAGAACAGTGTCCCAGCCTCCCCTCTAATGCTCCATACCTTAAGTTTATTTACTTCTGTCATTACAAAGAAAAGGTTTCAGTGTATCCTCATACATAAGAACTAAAAATATCACAGTAAACTGGGAAGAGCTATGCTGTGTCTTCCAGGCTGTAATATGAAGCATTGACCAAAAAAAAATGAATAATGAGATCTCAGTGAAGGATCAAAATTGTCTCCTGCAACACAGTGATCAAGCAAAACCCTTAAATAAGTGTAATTACCATGTAAATGACCACAGGCGGAGATAGTATGAGATATCCCTCTAGAGTCACATCTGTATGGCTCAGCTGTCCGTCATCAAAGAGGAGAACGTCAGGCTGATAGAGCTACAGTATGTCTGATTCAGTGAGCAGGGGCTCAGTATCAGGATTACGTTTTCAATCTTTGATTCAATCTTTGATTCAATCTTTGATTCAATCTAGGATTCGACAGGATTAGGATGATAGTGATAATGCTGCTAAAATATCAACTGTAAATGATCAGCAGCCATTAAAGTTCACATATGATCCTTTTCAACAAGTCAAAAAAAAGTCTGAGAGCTCCCCAAAAATGTCTGTGAAATTCCTTGTTATAAATCCACCCCAATCTTGTATTTGATCATGCCTATAGACCCCTCTATTTCAACCCTGCTTAGAACAGGCTGTTTATGTGTCTGTACCTTTAAATGTAAGTAAGCTGTGTCTGGCCACGCCTCTTGCTCCATGCCCTACTGTTTACAGTGAGAAGTCAGACTCAGAGGGCAGAACAAACACTTAGCTGTGGGAGTGTCACCCACCTGGGGGAGGGGTTACTGCCCTTTGTGATGTCATGAAGGGAAAATCTCCAAACGGCCTGTTTGAGCACACATTTTCTGAAAAGTGGAGAAGGCAAAAGACGGAGAGGATGGACTTTTCTCATCATTGGGGGGTGTATAAACAGGCTAGGGACACATATTAGTCTCTAACAAACCTGGTAAAGTGCATTTTGCATAATATGTGACCTTTAAACTTCACACTGTTTACATGTGTTATGAAAAAGCTGTTTAAAGTTATTACTACATTGTATTAATTATGTAGTGTTTAGAAACTTAAGCAGATCATCATAATCTGTAGAGTCACACCTTCAGTGTCTGTCATTTAAAATGATTAGTCTAATGTATGAAAACCAAATGAAGACATTCATTTGTTACACTGACAGCATAAACTAAAAAAAAAGGACAGAAAAGAAACACACAGCACATATATTTGAGTTGTTTTACAAGGAATTTAGAGACAGGATTTAGTTAATTAAGAGATTTGTTTTGATGGTCTGTTTGATTTTGTCTTTTGAATCTTCGAACACGTGGCAGTCAAATTTGTAAAGTTAATTTAAACCAAATGCTGAACATGAATAATTCATTAGTAGTCATTTTCTTTAAAAAGCCACAGCAGCGCAGTGTGCCCGAGGATACGTCCGTAAACAAGACTCCCAAGCCTAACTGGAGACAAGCAATAGCTTATGCAACCTGTTTTTGTTTTCTCTTTACTCTCTAATTTCTTATTTGCAGCTGAAGGCATTCAATTCTCAGCAGAGTTAAACTAAATCCAAACTGCTGTTCTCAAATGCGATGCAGGGATTTTAAGAGCCTTTACAGGGTGGGTGCTACATGCCTCGTTGAATGGGAACTGACATGACAATGTCCCTGAGTGTTTTAGTACTGTTTCATGAATTTAAATAAATGATTTATGTAACGGATGATTGATCAGGTTTATGTTTAAGCTCATAGAACTCTATCAGAGGTTGTCTGGATTTGAACCAGTCAGCTTTAAAACAAGCCGATCTTTCTTGAGACATGAGCTGATTTTGTTTAGACATAAAAAAAATAATAATCAGATGACGGCATCACGGTTCAAAATTCACTTGACTTGTGTAAAGACATTTCAGGGTTTTCATTGTTATTCTGTTTATAAAGTCGTTGTATAAATGTATCTCATTGAACAACTTGTGCAATAAGGAGACCAAACTTGGTGGAAGAACACATTTAACTTTAGACCAAATCCAGATCCACGTGTCCTCAAGCAAATTTGAGAAAATTTGACAGAAAACAAATATTTATACATCCCAGATTGTTTACATGGTTATTTCAGTCCAAGCAATTGACAGTACTACTGAATAGATAGTTGATATTCTGATGCTTTAGCCAGGCTCAACCGTATCTGCAAACACATCTTGGCACTGGTAAAAATACCCAGATGTGTTGGCTGATTTGAGTTTTTGTTTATTAACAACAAACAAACAAACAAGCACAACTGATCAGACAAGTCATCAAGGGTGGAACAGCACAGCTCTTGTGTAATATGAAGTTAACTATTAAGGGTTATTATCCCAGTAGTCCAGAGCATGAGGAGAGGCTGGGGATAAAACCATGATATCGGAGATTTAAAGAGTATGCAGTTATGTTATGTTATAGGAGACCTCAACATAGTACATTTACATTAAAACCAATGTACTCCATGAGTAAATTACAGTAAACAGGAGAATAGAAAAGAAAAAGTGAGGAAGTTTGAAAAGGTATTTGCAGTGTTCATATATTTTACCCTTTTAGATCAATACCTACAAATGGATCTTAACAGAGTCTTAAAGGTCACATGTTATACAAATGCACTTTAATATGTGTCCCTAGCCCGTCCATAAAACCCTCAATTATGAGAAAAGTCCATCCTCTCCGTATTTTGCCTGCTCTACTTTTTAGAAAATGTGTGCTCAAACAGGCGGATTGGAGATTTTCTCTTCATGACATCACAGAGGGCAGTAATCCCTCCCCCAGGTGGGTGACACTCCTACAGCTAGGTGTTTGTTCTGCCCTCTGAGTCAGCCTTTCCACCGTAAGCAACTGGGCATGGAGTGAGAAAGGAGATGGGCGTCAAACAACGCTCACTTGCATTTAAAGCTACAGACACAGAAACAGCCTGTTCTGAGCAGGGCTGAAATAGAGGGGTTTGTAGGCATGATCAAATACAGGACTGGAGTGGATTGATAACAAGAAACTTCACAGATACTGTATGTTTTGGGGAACTCTGAGACTTATTTAAACTGGTTGAAAAGCAGTATAATATGTGACCTTTAAGGAAAAGATCAATTTCTTCATATCATACACTCCCTTTACAATTGTTGCCTATTCACCTTCGGTTGGTGGTTCCCTTGTCCATCCACTTCTTGTTTATTGCTTTTTTGTATTTTCAGAAGGTACTTGTCCTGGGCTTTAAATGTTCCCTCAATAAATAGTACCAAAACTACCATCAAACTCAAATCTCTGCACTGATTTGACGTTTGTTATTATCTCTGACCAATAAAGTTGAATTACATGATGATTCCAAAATATGTGAGAGTCGTCAGCCGTTGCAGATTTGAGTTGTTGCAAGGACCTTACTATAAACTGTCGCAGATGTCTAAGCTCTCTGGATATCCTGCTAGATGTCCTTGTTTTAGTCTAATTTCTCTTTTTTTGTAAGAACACTGAAGTAAACAAAACAAAACATTGCAATCAAAATGTTTTATGTGAGCACATAATTGGCATAAAGATGTGATGTGATTCTGAAAACTTTTCACTGGCCCCCTCTGACACTGTTATTTGGCAAGAGTTATGTAGTCAAATCAAATCTAAATGTTGTCATGGAAACAATTATCTGATTGATTAGGGAAAAAAGGAGCAACAGTGAAAACTAAACAATACCCTCTGTTTGAGAAGCGTTTTGAAAAGTTTCCCATGGGACAGCACTTTTTAAGATGAGTGTGGGACTACAGTCACAGATGGCCATCACACAACAAAAATGCTTTATTATAAATAGGAAAGAGCAGGAAAAAAGCCACATCAGTTGTGTTGTGCAGAGCAGATTAGGACAAATTTGGACTCAGAAGCTCGCTAACAGTTTTCATACCTCATAATTACAAGCATTCTTATCCTTTTTTTGTAAAAGCCGAGGGACTTGCAATGGGAAATCAGCACAAATTGTTTTCACTTCAGTATTTAATTTGCCTGCTGTGGTCAATTCTTGCACAAATTTGATGAAGCCCTGGGACAGCAGCAGTGCTTTACCTCGGCCAGGATATTGTGTCATATACAATCATAAAACTGTTAAATGTTCCCCTGCAAGGATGCAGTAAATTTAATGAGGTGGAGTTGCTGCCCTGAGAGGAACCAGTGGACCAAAGTGTGTAGGTATGTGGGACAATTCACTCCTTCAGGGCATTTCTGTCATCACCTCCTCAAAGAACAGGAGTCTCATCAAGCGCGTTCTTCCCTGAGGACAAACACGTTCAATTTCCCAATAAGTGGGGGTCCGAGAATTCCTACTGTAGAGAACTATCCCCATAACAACTACTGAAATTATCCCAAATACCTGTAGGTGCACTATAAAACAACCATGTGTGGAACAGCTGTGGCAGCTCCTCGGAGTGCTCTCATCCATCCCTCCCAGGATCTGTAATGTCCACTGACAGCTGTAATCTTATCTAAATTAAAGAAAGACTCTGGACCAGGCAGGAACTTCAGTAAATGTTGCTCTTACAGTCTTGGACAGTGACGGTTTTTCTTGCAAACATGATCAGCCACCAAAGCCAGACACCAGAGAATCAAATCAGGTATAAGAGCTCATGTTGTTTCTCCTCCTATGACGAATTAGAGACTTAGAGGTCCTGCGGTCCACCAGAATGTTTATTTGACTTTTCAAAAGAAATAAACTTTGCTTCATGGAAGTGTTGCCAATTCTTAACCAGGATATGTATTGTGATCCTCAGAAAATCCCCTTTGGGTGCTCTCCCAGTCACCTTTGCCTTTCTTACAAATTTATTCAAAACAGCTCCAGACTTCAGTGTTGAATATGATTCGTTGTTCTCCTTGCTCTGCCCTGAGAGTACTAAAAAAAATCACCATTAGGAGGCACTTCTTTGTGCTGAACAACTCTGAAAAGGTTAGAATTTCACAGAGTTTCACAGAGTTCTCAGAGTCTAGAAAAATAACCTTTTCCTTGTGTTTTAGTGCATGAACGATAAAAGTAACATGTGGAAATCTTAAAGGGAATAGTGAAGGTGGTGGTGGTGTTAGTGGACTCACTGAAGCTGCTCTCTTCTTCCTCCAGGCCACACTGGGCGTTTGCTGCAGTCCCTCTGCTTCACCAGTATGTCCTTTCTGCTACTCCACATCATCTATCAGATTACAATCACCAGCCTCCTGGCAAGGGACTCCATCAACTCCGACTTCAACTGTGAGTACACCGCAACCTATATGGCCCAGTTCTTTAAAGGAAGTGATGTTTTTTGAATTATATTTGTTAAAGCCAAAGAGACTCCTAAGTCAGTAATACATGAAGAAGGTGCACACTCGACTGATGTAAAGAAGGTGCCCGTTGACTGATGTAGTCTTACACATCCATCATGATGTAGTTGTCTGTTTTTTTGTGTGAAATCATTTGTTTTCACATGCAGTCTTTATTTGGTGAGTCAGACTCATTTCAGATGAATGAAGCCACAGTAAAGTCCTCTAAATTCTATTTTCTTATTGGTTAAGTTGTGACACTTGCCACCCATATCTCCTGAAAAGTAGATTAGATACCTCAAAATGTTTTTTGCTGAAGATGAAATAGAGAACAGCATTATGTTGCCTGGATTACAAACTCTAGAAAACAGGGTTAAAGCTCATTCAAAACTGATTTTGAAAGTATGCCGCTCAGAAGTTGCAGCTTTTCCATTCAGGCCTTTCTGAAAGGGCTCTCAAGCAAAACTGAAAAGCATGCACTGCCTAACTACTGGACTGGTACAAGAGAGATGGCTGGAAGTTGGAGCACAGAGTACTGTATGATACATTTCTTAGCCATGCTTGTGGAATTAGATAGTGACTCCTTCAATGAGTTTCAACCTCTGTGCTTCTTAAAATAAATTGCCTACCCGGGCTCTTGGTCTACTTAATCTGTTATAATTCAAACACTTAAAAAGTCTTATATTATGTTTCAGGTGAATTCTCAAAGATTTAAAGCAGACCTCCTTCTTTTATCTATAATCTTAAGTGTTTTCAAACATCATACATCTTGTTCTTATATATGTCTATGTTATATATAGGAGAAAATCATTTCACTCCCATAGATGCTGACGGTGTATTATAGAAGTGAAAATAAACCGAATCTTGAATAAACTGGAGTCCGAATTATTCAAAAATATAAGAGGGTGAAGGAAGTCCCACTTTACTTACCGAGGGCAAATGTTTTAACATGTTAATAGTCTGATTTCTATCATTTATAGGAAAACTAAAAGGTTGAGTTATACATTATTAGGAATGTTCTGTGCTTTTATTATATTCCCCTTAGTCACTGTCAGTCTTGATTCAGTTGTTCCTTTTCTACATACAAGATGAGATTCAGTGGAGGTTCTACATTTCCATTGATCAGTCAGGACAGAAAGGAGCACTTTTAGTGAGCAGAGTGGTTGTTGTATAGAAAGAGCTTTATGATTTCTAAACAAGGACCGAACCACAACAGTTTGATTTTAACGATGAGGTATAATCTTTATTTTTGGATGAATTATTGGATGTTGAGCACGGATGAATGGATGTGAGAAAGGGGTTCAACTTATGGAGGAAGCTATCTATTTTGGCTAGTCAGAGACAGATTTAATGTAGGCCTAGGTGAAGGTAACATCTCAGTAATTGAGTCTCCAGCGTCCATTAGACAGCATCTGAATAAGGAGAGATGGGAGAGATATACCCAGTAATAAAAGAAGAAAGGTAAATGACGTCAGGAGAGAATGAATGAATAATAACAGGGCTAGGCAGAAGTAAGATGAAGTGCTGCCTTCACTGTGTGAACAATCTCTACTAGCATCACATATTGGGGGGGGGGGGTGGTGCAAGGTCATTCTCAAAGTAATATGATGTGTGATACCTGAATGAACAATGGAAAAGACTTATAAATGCTTAGGCTTCATCCCTTAACTTCTTCTGACATTATCCTGGTGTCTTCTATTTATTTGGCTAATTAACTTCCGTTGGCATCACCGTCATTCATGTCGAGTTTCTGTTTCTGGAATAATTTCATCCGCTTTGAGCTCGCACAGGTTCAACCAAAACGGTGAGGTCTCTACTTTTCGGTGGTTACGTATTTCTGTGTGCACACGTGTGTCCCATCCATCACACAGGCTGTTTAATGTTTGAACTTTGACCCGGGCTATTGATGCACAGTTGTATATCAGCAGAGTGTGTGTGGTGTTTTCACAGTGTCAGGAAAGTTTCCACACAGAAATACTTAGTGTAGACATTCCCCATTTGCAGGACTGGGTGAAATATGCTCTCTAATAATTTCTAGAAATACCCTTACTCTTATTGCATTTTGTCACATCGTGACGATTTATGAATCTAACACATTCCTCAATGTAATTAGCTTCCTCGTGCCATATGGCGCTGTAGAAAAAAAAGAGATTCTTGCAGCCAGTAAAGCAAACACTGTAAGCTCCTGACTCAGAGTTGGAAGGTGTTAATAGTTGGCCTTGGGCTCCTCATGAAACTGTATCAAACTGTAACATTTGAATGTGTCTAGACAGGGCTGACCCTGACCTTGTGTTCTAATGGCTCGTTCTTTCTGATGCAAGTAAGTCGATGTACAGCCAACTCCGCTCAGGAGGCAGAACGGACCTTATCGCCTGAGGCAGAGCACACAGAGTCGCTCAGAGAGGGCAGACTCTATTTTCACTCTAAGAAATCTTTAGTACTGAAGTCTCTATAGTTGCAGATGTTGGCAGATTAAACCCTTATCTCTCAACCCATAACTGTAAATCTATTCATTCTGCTGTATTTATCTGTTTAGGATCAATCCGCCTGTTGATGCATTTGTTTACACTGTATTTTTACAAGGTAGTTAATCGCACTACTTGCATGGAGTTAAATTATTAATGCAAAATAACTTCAACTAAATACGAGCAGAAAACCAATCAAGTTATTACTGGTTCATTGACTTGTGTGTATGCATCAGGGGGCGGCTGTGGCTCAGTTGGTGGAGTCGATCGTCTCCCAACTGGAAGGTTGGTGGTTCGATCCCCAGCTCCCGTGGCAGCATGTCCGTTGTGTCCTCAGGCAAGACACTTATCCCCGGATTTGTGAATGTGTATGAATGGGATTAGTTTCTTCTGATGGTCACTAAAACCTCTGCCATCAGTGTGTGAATTGGTGGGAACAGGTTGGTATAAAAAGCGCTTTGAGTAGTCAGAAGAATAGAAAAGGGTTAGTACAGTTTTTGGCCGTTCCACCTGGTGTTGTAAACATGCTGAAGAGGGAGGGGGGGAATTATAAATATGGTAATTTATCGTTGTCCAGATTTGTGTGATACAATTATCATGTCACTGGTGCCAAATATTGATATTTTATTTAATAAAAAATGGTGCACTTAACAGATTTGTTTGGCAATTTGATTCACCAGGTCACCACTCCCGGACATAAATGAGGGAAACAAGAACAGAAGTTAATTCTATCTTCAAAAGAAGTTGACAGTGAAAAGAAGTTAAGAGTTGAAGCATGATAACAGGTGATGCTGACTACAAACTGCAGTGAATAAATATATGTATCCTGCACTTTACCTTTTAAGGGGTATTTTAAGACATTCAGTCAATCAGATATCATTTGTCATAACATTGATCTCAGAATCACTGTGGTATCGTAATATTATCTTCCCCCAATGCTGGATATGAACTTTTTGTTTGTCAAAGCATTCAGGACGCAGTCTCAGACAGTGATCATAAAGCGCCACCATAAAGTGCCATCCTGATTCATTATCTGCAACATTTAACAGCAAAGTCTCTGTCTGTGCTACGAGCTGCTCAGGAATCCTCTTCTAATGAACAGCTGCTGGATCCTGACTGTCATTTCACAATTAATGAGGCACAGGGTGTAGAGATTAAACATTGCATGCTTTGATTAAAAAAAAAACTTCATATGGAGCCAGAGAGACACTGAAGACCATGATTGAAAATTTAAAAATGAGTCAGTAAGAAAAGAACCTCTAAGATGACTTGTAGTGCATGTTGCTGAGCACATTTATTGCACAACATAATACAAAGAAAACCTTAAGTTTAACCCTGGTGTGATGATTTATACACACATTGTTAGATTTTTTACTTCCTGAAGTCCTCCCCCTAAGTTTATTTTTGGGCTACATATGAAAAAGGAAGTCAAACATCCCTCTTTGTCCCCATGACCGGACTCCAACAATCTGACTTAAAGCCTTATCTCAAATTTCTATATCTGGTATTCAGCCTCTTGACACCCTTTTCCTTTAAGCCGCCAAGAATAAACAAGGAGTCCTCCAGTGCGGGTAGGCGGTTATCCTCCCTCCAGATAACTTCATGTAATTTCCTCTGTTCACTCTCGCCAAATAAACCATTAAAGCAGCAAAAAGTACGAATGAGAGAATCCTTCCAAGGAAAGGTTATCTCTCCCCCCCTCCCAGCTGTTAAAGCGGGTTCGGTTGCTGGTCACCAGATGAGCAGGGGTCGGCTTCCTTTGGAGTCATCTGTCATTCTACTGAGCTGACTCAACAAGCTGGGGATTGTGTTTATTAACAGTTTCGGGCATTTTTTATTTACCATCAAAGAGGAACAGATGGGTGGAGCTCACTCTGTTTCAGATACTGATAATGAAATTGTCAGATAGTGACAAAAAACTGACGCTGATTTTTGAAATACTTTCCTGTCATTGTCTAAACGCCTTCACTGTCATTGCCTGTACTGGCAACCCCCCACCCATTTGGCAACCGAGGAGGACAAAACAAACCATAAAAAGTTATTACAATGTTTGACGGACATGGTGGATATTTCATCAGCTCATAAGGAGTAAACGGCCTGTTAAATGGCTTTTTTTGTGACCAGTTCCCCAGAGACAGTCTTCATTAAACCAAATATTCACCCGTTTATCCACACATATCCTGCCCTGCACTCTCTAAATATAAAACATATACTAAATGCTCCTTCCTCTTATTGATAGCCTGATTATAATGATGACGTGCTGAGTTGTTAACGCTGCATTTCTCACATCTCTGCAGAAAAGGGCAACTTGTATTAGGCCCCAAAGATAGAGGAAGGAGTGCAAAGAAACGCTGCACTGAGAGGTTAACGGCCCAGCAAGTACAAAGAGAGTTTTATGATGCTCACATAAAGTCTGAGGACAGGTATTTTTGGTGCTCAGCTGGGGCGGAAAGCGGCCTCGCCTCACCTCAACGGGCAGAAACTCTCACACTCTTTTCCAGAAACCTCTATGCTGAGTTCAGACTCTTCAGAATTACAAAATATACCCCTCCTCATCGAAAGGATCAGACTGGCCGAACTTTACCCCTAACATTCCTCATTTATGATTTCACACACAGGATGGGTTTCCTCTTACATCTGTAGCCTCAGTTTGGGCCGGGTGAAGTTAAGTGTAGCGCTGTTTGAACGCTGAATATTACTAATACAGACTTTATGCTGCCTGTTGTCATTAGGGCTGACCTTTTAGTCTGTGGAGTTTATACTTGAGAAGGATAAAAGAGGCCTTTTGTAATCAATGAACTTTATCCGCCTTGTTAAGAGACAGTATCATTTCAAGAGAGTCCGTCATGGTTAGATATTCTAGATACATTCTGACAATGGGAACAAAAGAGCAGATCTGAAACTAAAGCCTACTTAGTTGGAATCTATCTGATAAGTGACTGGTAATGAACTTAAAACAGGGATGATTCTACTTTGCCTTTTATAAATCATCTTTAACAAGTAAATAAGAACACTATGTTTGTTTTAAACATGTGTCAATATGATAATAATATACAGTATTGATGTGTGATGTTAGAGAAGATTCAGGTTCAGGTCACTTTATTTGTAGCTGTAGGTAAGTTTGGTTGCAGGGAGAGTCACATATAGTTGATAAAGCACAGACAATACACAAAACATACAACGTGCAACTGCATGGTACATGGGTAAAGGTGCATAAAGTGCGCAGATTCTAATGGTAAAGTTTGATAAACAAGTTGATCTGTAAACGATACAGAGCTTAGAACAAGGTGTCGCTCAGGCTTACGGTTTTGTCATGTTGGTGAGTCTGTTTGGTTATTGATTGGAAGTCAAACTTTGTTTTTCAGGTCTGGTTTTTGCTTTTCCAGTTGTTTTGTGTTGTGACATAATCAGGTCAGTCCTTTCACAGTTTATCTGTGGGCATTTTAACACGGCCGTAGACGTGCGGAGGTGCTGAGATTCCTTCAGTGTTTAAACAGATGAGTCGGAGGAGGACTGTGGGTGAAGGTCAGAGGTTAAGTCAGAGGTTAGTCATGGGGAGCTCCTCCCATCACAGATGACTGGACCTCCATGTCCCCCAACCACAAAACACACCTAACATCTGCACAGCTATCTGTGCAGCTACTGTTGTCACTGATGAGTGATAAAGAAACACCAGGGTTTGTGCTGACAGTACATTGTTGTTTTTATTGAACTTTAATGGCATTCAGACTCTGTTTCCTGTTTCTGACAAAGTGCCCAGCCGAGTGGCTCATTCCTTTACTGGATACTTAGTGTTTGTAATTAAGGAGAAAAACGTTAACTTAACTTTTATCTTAGTTTGAACAGTCGTTTCATTCATCAGATTGTTTCTATTTCTCCCTGTTGCATAAAGGCTGTGCAGTTACTCACACTTTCATTGTTAACAGGATTTCAGCATTTGTATTAAACACTTCATAAAAATCTGAGTTTATCACAATAAAGTAAAGCAATGCCTATTCCCTCTGAACGAATACACATTGACCCATTGGATGAAGTCCTGTGTATAATGGCCATGCTTTTACACTTCATGCAGTTTGATGAAGCTCAAGTTAACTATCTGCTACTTCAATTGGTGCTTATTTGGTGATGAGAAATCAAGCTTTTTGGATTTATTGTGGATTTAGGAGAAACATGATTTGGAAACGTAGTGACTTACAGATACTACACTTCACATTTTGCTCTCATATCTTGTAGGCCTGGTTTGCATTGAAAGCTTCTCCAAACTAAAGTAAGCTTTTAAAAAGAAAAAAAACTGGCATTGCAAGAGATGTGTGGTACTTTTTTTTTAACTTGGTACTGTAGCTAGGTGGTTGTAAAACACATTTGTGACTGGCTGTGATCACTATATTTTATTTGCAAGATTGAATCATCATACTGTCAAACCTTTTGGATTTTTCTTTCTGTTACGTATCCTAATGCTCTGTATACTTTTTAACAAGAATTTCAGCGACATCATTTATCAACCTCAGCAGCCTCCTGATAGTAAAAGTGGTTTTCACACAGTGTCGAATAAATCTAATGTGGCTTTTTCTCTTTTCAGTGCTGTCACTGAAGTGTGTTTTAACGTCTTCTCTCTTCCCCACTGCGCTCCATAAAAGAGAAACTTCGTCACCTCAGCAGCAGCTCAGCACCTAATTAGCCGCCTAGTACACCGTCAAAACAGCCGGATATATCGATATGTCATTCAGTTGAGATCCTCAAGTCACACAGCCGATGTTTTGTTTTCTCTGGCAGAAAAAACAAAGGCCACTTCTTCTGAGTGTGCTGTTTGAATACCTGGAAATCGCTTTCTGAGCACTGGGGTGACGTTCAGGAACACTTCAAGGAGTCTGTGCTTAAACAATTCAGAGGTTTTAACTGCACTGTTTTAACACCTATAGGACATCTAAACAGTTGACACAGAATGGTTTATTGTTTTAAGAATAACTGCTGAAATAAATAAAAAAATGTTGTGGATCTTAAAATGATTGAACCCTGTTTTATTCATGTGTTTCTCTGTTACAGTTAGACATTGAAAAATAAGCCATAGTTATTAGCTTTTTATTCTAGATACAGTGATGGAAATAATCTCTTCAAACATGTCTGAATGTTTTTTGCACCCCTGAATGATCATCTTTAAATCAACCAGCGTTTTATGTTTTTATGATTCCGATGTCAAAGCGTTGTTTAAAGATGATGATAATCTTTCTTTAATAAATACAATTATTCATGAACTGATTTTATGTGTTTGTCCAGGTTCCTCGTGGGAGAAGTCCATCCGACAAATTGGCTTTGAGAGGTAAGATAATGATGACTTTAACATTTTCTAACTAAAGCAACTCTAATGAATGATACTGTCAACATTTAAACTGTATATATAAATATATTACCCCCCCATGTCTAGCACAGTGTAAAGACAGAGGATATAAATCTGTCATGTTTCTGTAAAACAAACAGTCAAACTGAAAAAAATGAAAGCATGACATTTTTTTTCTCTGATTCCCGATTTTTTATTTTAAGGCATTCAGACAATCGCTGTTTGCTGTTGAGAAAGAGCGTCAGCAACATGATGAAAAAAAAAATGTATCCCATGTAAAAATAAAGCATGCCTATTTCACCTTTTTAATTTAAAAATGAACATAAAAGTGTGTATTTTTTTTTTTGATCCAACCATCAGAGGTTAGGCACGTTGCTCTCTTTCTCTGTGTTTAAGCAGCACATTGCATTGTTTGGGCAGATCAGATTTACACTTTTTGGCTCGTCCTCTGACAAGCGGTATGATTGCTGCTGACTTGTCCCTGTGTGGATTCTTGATGAACAGTAAACCCAGTTACGCCTGACACTCGGTTGACAGGCCTATGCTTCAAAGCTTTAGCTGCTGTGTTTGTCTCCTCACACCCCGTGATCGTGTTAGATGTGGTTTGCTAAGTACGGGAATGTCCAAACTCAGCCACATCCTTTTTCCAGTACTCAACAGCCATCGGTGGATAGCATACTGTAAGTGGCGGAAGTAGAGCCATAAACATTTTATCCGGCCTGCATTTACCTGTTTGTGTTGAGGATCATATACAGTATATACAATGTTTACAGCTGCATTTTCTGCACGAGCCGATACTTTCTCTTTTTACTGCCTGTGTGGAGGAAAATGCAGTACATTAGTCAGATGTATAGGACACGAAGGGAATCACAGCTGTTTAAAGCCCTCTCACTCAAGACAGATCCTTGAGTTCCCTCAAGTCTGACCTTTCCAAATCCTCCAAATATACCAAATATTTATATGGTCTACGACCGGTTTGGCTGTCGTATCCTTTCACTGAAGCCTCGTGAGTAATTGGGCCTGCAGTCTGAGGCAGGTCTTAGCACTGCTGATGTTTTTGTAATTCTCTCGCATGATAAACAAGGGGAAAGAAGCGGTCATTAAAGTTGCTGGCTCAACCTTGTCTGGCTCTGACGGTTTCCATCTCTTTCATCTGTGTGAGGATGCACAAAGCCTCACGACAATAAAGCACACGGAAAAAGACGTCCTTGATGAGAGTTAAGTCATAAACAGCAGCCCAAGGCCTATTATAACTATTTATCTGGGTGTGCGTTTTCCATCATGTTTGTTAGCACCCTGTTTTCAACTTGTTAACTTTTATAAGCTTTGTATCCATTCAAGGTCAGAATGAGTTTGAAATGACCAGTTGCTTTATAACTCAAACTTAAAACTTTTGTCAGCTTTTGCTTGGTAGCCTGCGCCTCAGAATTGCCAGTATGTTTTGTTTATTGTAAACAGTTTCACTCAGAGCTCAGCATGATACGTAGCCTAAAGAAAACACTTTGCTGGCAAAACACAGGATGCAGTGCGATTGTTGTAAAACTGAAATAGAAATTGGTTTGGATGATAAAAGTGAGTTTTAAAGGTCTTGAAACCTGTTAGCCATTTTTGAGGACAACTTTTATTTGCTTTAATTGTACAATGCAATCATGACACCTCATAAAGCCTGTCCTCACGCAGCACCAACACATCCCAGCGACTCATTCAAAGCCTGAAGTTACTGCTGATGTCATGGCAACAGCTTGCCGCCACTGTTTGGCTTCCTGTTTGAACAACCCTTTTGGTATTTAGTTTGAGGTGAGCAGACTAATCAAATAACAAAAGTTACAAAAGCCTTGTTAGCTCACAGCAGACCACAAGACTTAAAACGTTATTTAAAATAAATAATCTTAATTAAAAAAGACACCATGTAGAGTTTGGCCTATTGGTCTATTATACAACAGTTTTTAATGTTTGGATAGTTTTTTGTCTTTTACATTATTGATTTTTGAAGGTGTTACTTGGAGAGTGTCAATGCTGTTTTGTTATATTGTTGTCTGTCACATCAGTATAGTGACAATAAAACTTTGTACCGTATTAGTATTTCTAAGAACTGCAAAATGATTTGTTGATACAAATGATAAAGTGCACACATCATATCTTAAGTAAAACAGTAAATATGACAAATGTGAATCATTTCCAATGTATTTAATGTATTCATGAAGGACAAAAGAGCTTATTGTTCACCCAACTTAATTATAGACGACGGATGCAGTTTCTAAGGCAGTAAACATGTTTTTCACAGTTTGGTTAAAAAAAAAAAAAAAAACTCATGGCCTCCTGGCTTTTTTTTTTTCTTCGAGTGGAATTTCACTCACATTTACATGCAGCGAGCCAGATTTCATTAAAAAGGGTGGTACTCCATATAAAAGCTGAAGCGATCAACACTACACATATTAAAACAACAGCTGAGTCATGGAAAAGAATGCAGATTCCCATGCATTCATGTGAACAGGTATTGTTTTCTGAGAGATATAAACTGCTGTTCTTATGTCGGCAACCTTTGCCGACTCAGACGCACATTCAAGGAAAATGATGTTCAGTGACAACTTATGCAAGCTTTTTTTTTTTTTTTCAAGATTGTTGGACCGTGTCTCGCTTTCTAAACAATCACAGACCCAGGATGATTGAGGCGGACATAGTGGGTGATATGTGACAAATATTCCAGTCCAGATCCAAACATGCGACTGCTCAGTAATTTCTGGGCCTCGTCCAAGTGAACTTTATAAGCAACCACAAGTCCCGGGATTTCTTAGAAGAACTGTTTCATATTAAAAGTGATTGTCCATGGACAGTTAAGAGAGTTGTACTCTGTCCCATTTTCCATCATTGGGTTCTGATTTCAAGATTGCTCCAAATCCCAATTCTGGGACGTATTGAAATAGATCTTACTTATAGAAAAAACAAGCGTCTGCTTTCTGTCAACACATATCCTATGTTCTGTGTTTGTCCTCAGTGTGATTGGTGCAGACGCGGGGAACGGCATCCGAGTGTTCATCCCTGACATCGGCATGTTCGTGGCCGGCTTGGCCATCTGGCTGCTGTGTCGTAGTCTGGTCCAGAAGAGGCCGCCTGAGGACATGGCCCAGTACAACACTGACTTTGACGCAGAGGAACAAGTGGGTTTCATTTGTGGTGACATGTATCGTCTTGTCTGTCTATCGATCTGTCTGTCTGTCTGTTTAATGTGTCCTAGTTGTCTAATCCATCTAATCTGACTAGTTTGTCACTATCCCTGCAACAATACCTCATGATGTAATCATGTACAAATCACAGAAAAGTAGAAAATAATGAAGTTTGGAAACAAGACACTGGAGAGGTATTTCCCTTTGTGAATTAACAAAATGAATATATTTTCTTTTAAATTTAGTTCTATTTAGTTTTTCAATAACATTTACCACCTTAAAGAAGCAAAACCTGCTTTAATTAATTATAATTTTACAAATTTACAAATACAAAACACACCACACCCATCACATGATAACAACCTGTTTGGATTACGCTCAGTTAGTGAAGAACATATAAGTTATCTGACGTGTCTAAGTTTTCATGATGCACATAACACAAAAAAAGAATTAGAGGAAAACTGACTGAGCATTTCAGCCCTGATTTGAAGTATACAACTCTTTCTTTGGGGCATTTATAGAGAAACAGGACAGTGGATTTAGTGGGAAATCAGGGAGAGAGAGAGAGAGAGAGAGAGAGAGAGAGAGAGAGAGAGTGGGGAATGGGGAATGGCACGCGGCAAGGAGGTCAGATTCCAACCTGGGCTGCCCAATATGAGGAATGTATCCTCTGTACATGGGGTGTGCAAATGAACCACTAATCCACTGGTGCCCCATTTTTTAAATTTATTTTGAGGGAATACAGGGATTAGGACCCAAATGCAGAGTAAGAGCAGATGTGATTTCATGCAATGAATCGATTGCAAAGAGGCAATAAACAAAATGCTCATTGCAAGGTGAGGCTGGCAAGGGAATCCAACTTTTGACACTGTACAAAGACAACCAAACAAGAATTCCAAGAGGAAACAATTAAAAAGGGAAAGGTAACTCTGATATTGAACTACAACAGGAAAATGAACAAACACCATGAAACAAGAAGTAACTCATCCTAGACAGTAGAGCAGGACTGAAGAGGGAATAATATCTAAAACTGTGTACTACTAGCATGTCTTTAATTTATACAAACAAAAACTGAAGATATTAAAAATGTTTTACAGTCTCTTAAACGTGATGATGATTGAAACGTTTCTCACACTATAGATGACCACAGACCTCAATGTGAACATATTTACACAGGAATATTCCATATTTCTTAACAGGGGGAAAGGAAAAAAATGACGATGAGCTTTCCATCATTTACAGTTTGCAGTTAATGTTGACTGGCAGGTATGCAAACAAGTTATAACAGCTCAGCTTCTTAATCCTGCCAGTGGTTTGAACTCGCTGAAATGTCCATTGAAGTGTCTTTTCTGTCCCCTTTGAGCCTAAAAGCTGGAAGAAGCAGAGCAGAAGTTTGCGTAGCTTGTTCCCCCCTGCGTGTTGATGACTTGGAATACAGCCCTCATCTGCTGCCGAGTCCTACTGACTCTTTATGACTCAGTGTTAATTAAATCCACATTTACTTTCACTTCTAATGTGCTGCTCATGCTGGCACAGATGGCACCACTTCCCATTACTGAGAAGAAACACCAGGAATTCCCGTGTAGATCCTGCGTTGTGTTGATTCCTGCCAGTGAGCCATCTGAGCTGAAATTGGTGTTTGATTCCAGCAGCAGTTTTACCACCTCAGTCTGCCTTTGTCTAGTGCCTTTTGTGTGCTTTTATAAGTCACAGGAAATGACTCACTAGTCATTATGCCTTTAAGTTACCGACTGTAGGAGAAAAAGGGGACACATTGGTTTATCAATGTTGGTTAGAATGTTGGTCTAACAGTTGGTTAGAAAGTGCAGCCAAGGAAGAGCTGGCTGTATTACATCATGAGCAAACAGTGGAAAAACATCTGCCAAGATATGTCAAACAGCCACGTAAACCACACATTTGTTTAAATAAGCTGTGCTACATGGCAAACATGCCCCAGAAAATGCTGCCAACTGGGAGGGCTACCTGTAGGAAACAGTTTTCAGCACCATGGAGAGCTCAGATCCTCAAACTGCACAATCATTCATTACTGAAGTCTAACGCGTCACTGTGTCATCCATCCCGGAAAGGAGGAAGAGGAGAAGCTAAGCCTGGAAAATAACATCCTGCTCGAGGAGGATCTTGATGCAGGGTACGAGGCTGAGGAGGATGAGGAAGATGAGGAGCTGGATGAAGAGGAGGAGGAGGAGGAGGAGGAGAGAGGAGGAGGAGGCAAAGGAGAGCACCAAGATGAAGGTCCTGCGGCACGTGGCGCAGGTGGCATCCAAAATGAAGGAGGTTATCGGGAACTTGATCTCCACCGCTGGGCAGGTGGTGGTCACCATCTTGCTGGGCATGACAGGTGAGCAGCTTTGCATGTGGTGAAGTGAATCTACGTGTTGATCCTAATGCATCACAATGAGTTTTTTTTTATTTCTGTGATTGTTCTTAAGCAACTAAAAAGCAATGAAATGTAAAGGTTTGCAGAAACACTGTGGAGCTCAATACATTTTGAAATAGTTGTTATCATCCAATAAAGTGTTCTCGCTGTTGCTTTTTAATGTGCTTGTTATTGTGTATGGCTGCTACCTTGGCCATTTCTCTCTGGCAAAAGAGGGATGCGATTATAATGGTACTGAAACAAAGGTTAAGTGAATTATGAATATGTTGTAAGAAGACAATCCAGTACAGCCCGATATAGATATGATTTAGATATTTTTTATCAATGTTAGTTATAAATGGAGTCTATTGCAGCCACACACCTGCACCGCTGAGTTCTCTTCCTGATGTTGCCTTGCACAGCACTTGATCAGTGTACGAATGTGTGTGTGAAAGGATGAGAGCTGACATGTTGCATAAAGCACCTCGAGCGGTTGAAAGATTACGATGGACCTATAAGAGTGCAGTCCCTTTACCATTTAGAAAGATGGGAACAAATGTGAGCTTTAGTCATTCTATTAACCTTTTTATCGAGAAAGAGAAAAGGTTAACACATCTACAAAATGCCCTTCAAGTACACCGCTGACCCATTCTATGGACTTGCATCCCTTAAATGGAGGACATTATGGTTGGATATATTTAAGAGGGAGCTTTTCTCGAAGGTGTGCTTTAAAACAAAGTTAAAACAAAGATGTAGTAAGCTGTATCTGAACTGAAGTTAAGGACGTAAAACATACCTTACAGCTAGATGGATAAGAAATAAATCTGAGTCAAACAGTATTTATTTGAACCTGCTTCTAACACTGCTGTTTTTTCTGTGCTTGCAGGAATCATGCTGCCCTCGTTGACCTCAGCTGTTTACTTCTTCATCTTTCTGTTCCTTTGCACCTGGTGGTCCCTCCGCCGGACCTTCGACACACTCATCTTCAGCTGCATGTGCGTGCTGATGGCCATCTTTAGCGCTGGACACCTCATTGTCCTCTACCTCTACCAGTTTCAGTTCTTCCAAGAATCCATTTCACCCGACGACAGCTACATCAGGTCAGACGCAAAAATGGCGTAAACTTCTAAAATCTTCTGCATTACCTTGTGTGTTTTCTGTGTGTCTTTTTGTGCGGCCAGAAGTTGAAACAATACACATCTTATCATTTATCTTTCTAAATTGAAAAGTGTCAGGATTTCTACTTTGAAGAATAATCTACATTAAAGACAGTTTGTTAATGTGGACCCCAGGAAGAATAGCTGAGCTCTCAGGTACAGCTACTGGGGATCCTAACAAATAAACAAATAAACAAATAGTTCAAACTGTCTCTCACGCAGCAGCTAAATCTAGAGAAATTAAAACCTACAATTCTGTGTCTTATTTACCTTACCAGGAAACATTAATAGAACAAGCCCATACTTTGGGTGTCTGGCTCCTTCATAATGTGAAAACACATGATGTGATGATAGGGCTCAGCAGCCAGACCTCCTTTGACTCTACAATAATTATTGCACCCAAGGCAAGTTTGTTTAAATGATGATAAATATTTACTATTGTTACAAACAAGAAGGAAAAGGCGATGCTGCTGGAGGGGGGAAACTGTATATCTTTATTCTACTCGCAGCACATCAATATCAGCAGCAGAGCTTTTAGGCTCTTCACTACAACAAGTGTTGTTTCATTATGCATGAGAGAGGAGACAATCAGCTGTCTGTGGCTGCGGCGGTGAAACGTTGTGGTTGGAGAACGCCACATAGTTGCACATCTTGCCAACATACGTTAGTCACAGTTGTGATGAATGCAGACCAATAGAAAGAAACTCACTCGGCTCATTGTGTTTGACTGACAACCTGAAATGCAAACAATGCTGTTTAATCACTAATTCAAGAAATATAAAGGATACCACACTTGATGGTTCACATTAACATGTTTTTTTTTCCCGCTATGGTACCAAAGAGGAAGCATTTAAATATATGATTTGTAAGTAAGGATGTTGCCTTCACTTGAAAAAAAAAATCTGAAGTGAAGTTATTATAATTTCAGAATGACAAGAAATGTTTTTAGGTAAAATATCTGATCTTTTTATCTGAATTCACGAGAAGCTGCTACCTCAAAAAACCAGATTGCTGGCACAATACCTGTATCTTCTGAAACACACAGAGCCGCAAACATGCAATATGTATCTGTAGATACAGTATGCATCAGAGATAAAATTACAATGAATGTTTGGATTTCAAGCTCTATTTTACCATTCAAGATAATGTGGTGCCAAAATGAATGAAAAACATTGAGAATTAATCCTTTATAATTGTATATATTGTAATGGTAGACATCATGATGTAAAATATTATAGTATAATAGTTTGATATGATATAGTTTAAGAGTTAATCTGGATAAATATACCCGTGGTAATAAACAATAATGTGATACATTTACAAAATGTTACTGCAAAAAATGTTAACAAATTCCCCTTCTCATTTTCAAGATTTATTTTCTTTGGCAGAGACAACAGTACAGAAATGTATTTACTCAGCCATCTGGTACAAAGATAAAATATAAAACAAGGCACAAAATAAAAGTTTATATAATGTACAGAACATTTTCTGTTGTAATTGCATTAGTTGTAAAAAAATTCAGATGGATTTCCTTAAATGGAAATCCTCTCCAACAAAACCCAAAGAACACAAACAGTTTAACTAAGAATATAAAAAAATAACAAAGTCTAAAAAAAGATCTGTTCAGTAGTTCATTTAACTAGCAGCACGTGATCTGAACCTTTAAATCACGATGCCTTTATCGTCAGCATCACCAGCAGCGCTGTAGCTATTGTTTCACTGTGGCTTTTGTCTCAGTGCCCTTGGTGTTGCAGAGTTGTATTGATCTCACGGTTTCTCATTTGAAAACTGTGCTGCTGCGTGTCAGGACCGAGGCTATTTACAGCTATGTTTAGCTGAAACTGCCTTGGACAAACCTTGTGTCCTCCCCATCCCTCTCCTGGTTTAGATGGTAGATAAGGGTGTGATTACACTGCTGCATTGATGGGTTTCTGGTTAAAAAAAGCCCTTATTAGAATGAATAGATTCCCTTCACACCATCTGCCCACTATTCAATCTGTACATACTGCAGTATACTGTGAAGCAAAAGGACTGTCTCATAGACTGGAAGCACAAAGTCTGTGGTTTCAACCCTGGGGTGGAGTCCTGAGATAAATATGAGAGTTTGCCACTTCATAAAAGGGAACAAACAAAACACTAATTACACTTTACCTCTTAACTGGTGGGTGGGGACCCAAAAGTGGGTCTTGTAGCAATTTTCAGTGAGTGTCAAAAAGGTTATGGGATACTTTTTAAAACATGTTTGTTTTGTTCTGTCTCTTTGTTCTGTCAGATGTTTTGTACCATCTGAGGTCCAAACTGCATTCATTTTCATCAAACAAATCGTACTGATCGAAAAGAATCAGAAAATTAACTGCAAATCACGAGCTGTTAGAGTGAAAAAAAAAATACTGTCTGCTGAGAGTCGTTGGCAGTATTCATACAGAATGTCACGCACTGGAAAGTTTTTCCAGTGATGTTGACAACAATTTCACCTTCATTTTACCCAAATAATCTGTAATTATAGGTTACCTACATACTGGAATAGTGTCCACTTATTTTCAACTAATGAACTCTGTGTGGACAAAACCAAACTCAGTCAGCTTGAAAGTGCAGCGCTGTACAGTAGAGCGTTCATCTTTACAATCAGACCCAAAACAATTGCAAACTGCACATCATTTGGCACGTTGGGCTTGAATATCATTACCGCAATATGCGTTTTAAATTGACAGAGCAGATAAACGGGGCAACTGATGTGCAATTCATGTAGATATCGACATGATAGATCTAGTCTGAGTGAATACTCCCCTGAGTTCATTAACTGATGAGCCATTACAAGTCGACCTTGCCTTATTTAAAAGGGTCTTAAGACAAGTTTCTTGGAAACCAGTCAACCAAGCTACCTGATAATGTAAATATGATCATGTATCAAGGTGTTTGAATGGGTGTAATGTTTTTAAACAGTGCACTTCTCATTTTGGACTTGTGTATTTGAGGTCCTAATTTTGGGAAATGTACCACAAGCTTTTTTGATAGCTCTTGAACAGGGGAACTATTTAATCATCTGTCATCTCCTCATGTGTTCATGTTGACTTTCCACAGCACTGAGGTATTTCTGTCTTCTGCTGTGCATCACAGTTTCTTCTGATCCAGCCTGTTTCCTCTCTGCACACTCTCAGGCAGGCACTGGGAAACTCTTACAGACGTAAATGTGTGCAGCCCCCCCATTGGACAATAGGCCACCTCAGTGCCTGGCCTAATTGTGCTTGTTGACAGTGACTTGGCCTTGCTGTCGGCCGGGTGTTGAGTTAGTCTGTTGAGAGGTCTGGCTTCAACTCTGTTTCCTGCCTCCCTTCCTTACAATGGAAGTCCCCAGTCATGTGACCACCAGCTTCATATGGCCTTCCCCAGCTGCAACAAGAAACCATTCAGGAAGTGTGGTGGGGTCAGAGGGGGGCGTCTACTCCTCCACATGGCAAAGAAAGAAAAGACTTAGGAGGCATCTAAATCTGTGTGGTTGTCACTGGAAGACGTCAGCGCCTTTCCTGTTGAGCAGATGACCTTTATCCTGCTCAGAGGAAAAGGAGTGAATCATGTGGCATCCTTTGTGGTACAAACAGATTTTCAGCCCCTGTGCATTTCAGAGATTCCAAGGTTAGGGCGTAGAAAATGATTTGCTTAGCAGGAATGCTTTGAAGCAGAAATTCATTTACATGAAGCCATTCAAATGTTAGAATCTTAAATAATGCTCTCACTTGACGTGCTAAACTCTTTTTGATTGGTTGACATTGTGTTAACATTTTAAATGTACAATGAAGGTAGTTTGATATTCTCTGTTAAGAGCATAAGGGCCCATATTGAAAAAAACTTCCAAGAATTAATGTTCAAATGTTCAAGACATACCTCCTTTAAATTATGAAAATACTGAACCAAAGTTTAGAAAAACTCCATTCATCCATCACTATATTTTCAATCTCATATCTTTGGAGTGTGTTGGGGTGGGAGCATGCTTAGTAATGTTGTCTAGGCATCACATTCCCAAGCCCCAGCATCTCGTAACCAATTGGGTTTGTAATCCTTCCACTGATTTTCTTTTTCTATGGGAATCATCTTTGGATGATCCTGCCAATTGGACATGCCCAGTAAACCTCCAAAATCACACACAAAGGAGGCATCTGTAGTTAAAGCTCCGCCTTTATCTCCTCTTTATCATATCAGTCCTGAATATTGCCTTCAATACTGCTGACACAGCACATTTAGAGTACTAGAGAGGTCTTCTAGGCTGGTAACCTCTGATAACATGGGGAAACCAAGCCAACATGTATTTCATTTAACCAAAAGACAGCCTGACTGTGCAGGTTCCTTTGCAAGTAAGGTGTCCATCACCTCATTTAATTTGGCTTTATTTCTGGAATCAATAACTAGATTTATAGACAAAGAACTCCAAACGCTCCTACACTGAATAGAACGTAATGAATTAAACTCTACACTTATCTCAGTGAAAACAACCCCTGATTAATTACATTGGACCAGTTTACAAAAGATTTAAGCATCAGTATTCATATGTTAATACCTCTGGCTGTTCGAAGGAAACACAATTTAAGAAAGACAATCATTTTATCCCTCATAAGGTTTGTTTAAAAAGAGTTTAATTATTGTATCTATTAAGGGATAAATACAAGGACAAAGGTTCTTTTTTTCAGGTATAAACTATGGAGCCACTTCATTAGTTAGGATTTGATCTCTAAGAGATAATAATTACTAAATTTATGTAATACATTGTTTATCAATTGGTCTTTGAAGAATCAGAAAACAAAGAAAAATGACGATCTCAAATCATCAATCTTATGTAACTATAAATGTCTTGTTTTGTCTAATCCCCCATTATATTCCATATATGTTGGACATAAAGCTAAATATACATTTCTAAGAAACTAGTTGTGTTCTTAGAAAACAGTAAACCTGTAAATCAGACCCTTTCATCACATTTTTTTATGTGTATGTTTAGGACCTCAATGTTTACAAAAGCTGAAGCTTTGTTTATTCTGAAAGTTCCTGATTTCACATCTTCAGTTCTTGTACAATATGCCTGTTTCCTCATATGCCTGTCTGTCTGTCTCTGCAGTGTATTTGGCATCTCTCCCATTGTTCAGAGCAACTGTTCCTACACATGGAAGCTCATTGTGCACCCGCAGCGTAAGTGGTACCACTTTGTCAACCCCATCATGCTGCTGCTTCTCTACTACACCCTGGCCACGCTCATCCGTCTCTGGCTGCAGGAACCCATCGACCTGCTGACGGTGAGGACAGCAGACACAATTCAATAAAAACACAAACATTTACTGGAAAATATGTCGATTATTTGGTCAGAGGGTCAATGTACTCTGTGACATGATGGATTTGTTTACCGTAGAATGAACAAAAACAAAGTCAACAAGTCATTGCTTTTTAGACATGAGGGGTCTGAGAAAAATGTTTCAGATAAAAACCTAATTTCTTGTTGGTTTTCTAAAAAATCACAGAGCAAGAGTGTCATTCTTGATTCTTGTAGTCAAGATAGGGTACTTTATATTAAATCTATTTTTACTCTGTTTCTGTTCATAACTCTTTGCCAAGTGCACAAAGTACACAGCAGCTATCAATCAATCAATCTTTATTTGTATAGCACCAATTCATAGACAATTTACAAAAAAGCAGGTCCAGACCTTACTCTTAGTTATTTTATTATATACATTTTATTGCAATTATTATTTCCAAAGACCCAACATTAATCCACCAGGAGCACAGCACTAAGCAACATTAGAAAAGTTAAAAGTGGTAAGAAAAAGCTCCCTTTACGAGGCAGAAACCTCAAGCAGAACCAGACTCATGTTGAACAGCCATCTGCTGAAACTGTGTTGGGCTTGGAAAGTGGGATAGAAGGAGATGTAGGAAGCTATAGTGTGTGTGATGCACAAAACAGCTCAGTGACCAGAAAGTAAAACAATACATAAATGACAACTCTTAATCATGGACATCACAGCTGAAATGGAAAATGACTGTATCAGAAGGTTCTGAGGGTGTTTTTATTTATTTTTTTATTTTTTTACCTTTTTTACTGCTGGGAAAGTAAAACCTAAAATAAGCAGAACAGTGTGTGATTAAAGTATAATAAGTCCTGTAGTATTTGAATGAGCTCCTGTGTTGTGAAGATTTGGTTTGCTGTTATTGTAAAAGTCGGGTGGATGCAGGCAGCCGGAGTCGTCAAAGATACTAAGCTGCTATTTGGCACACAACACCCCCATAAAGCTCGTCAGTACATTCCAGACAGAGAACTGAAATAGAAGCAGATTGAATTAAACAGGCAGCCAGGTGGCCTCGTGAGCAGAGAAACTGTATTGATGGAAGCTTACAGGAGGATCGATCAGTCCGCCGTAGCTCAGGTGTTATCTGAGACACTGTTGTTCTAATTTTGACAGAGCGTGAAGGGAGGATGAATCTTGGCACCTTGTTCCAGTGTTACAGTGCTGCACAGGGACAGAGCAACTGTGACTGATTTGCCCTAATGAACGTTTTCTGTCAAACTCTGGGACCCCTTTGGACAAAGCAGGATCATCTATCTCTGATCTTGTCCTGGACAAAAGAAATGTTTTCTGATTAAAAAAATCTCATCCTTCTTTATTTTAAATGTCTGATGTGCAACTCACAATTAATTTAGTCGCTGAAAATTGTGTTCGAGCATTGAACTGTTAATTGACTCGTTTGACTCTGACCCCGCAGCAGAGGTGACCGGCATATAAAATAACATTATGTAGAAATGTAGATAATGTAGAAATAAATTCTCTCTCTCTGAGGGTCTTTTGTAGGTCATATGGAGGCATCAGACTTATTCGTAGTCCGTTTCATGACCAGACAAAAACTCCTCACAGGAGCTTTAAATTGAATTTTATGTTCAACCAAAGTCCCCTTAGCCCCATTTTATTGGATGAGCTAATTTTCCATCAGTATACAATCAATAAAGTTTTTTTTAATTATATCACTGGGGTTGCATAAAAACTCCCTTAGGCAGACACTTGAAAACCTCTGTAATAAAACCAAAACTACCCATCTGGCTTTGACATGATGATGGGATTTTGGGGTGAAATGACCCTTTAAAGGCTATACATGCCCCCACCTTTATTTCATACCAACTCAAATGTACAACAGAATTAAACCTGCTGCTGCTCAGGTATGTGGTTAGTGGTGAGCTGTAACGCTGAGAGCTCCCACTCCTCAATTCAACTCTTCGTTAAACCTCAGCACTCGGGGCTCAGCTCCTCCGTCCTGTAATGGAGTTATAGATTAGTGTTTTTATAGAAGGGTCAATACTTCCCTGTAAACATGCAGGACTGTATGCATTATTGATCCCTTCTCAGAGTGTGTGTGTGTGTGTGTGTGTGTGTGTGTGGGTTTTTACCTACTCTAACACTTTAAACAATAATAAAACATGATTAGAGGATAAATCAGCGGCTGACAGGTTTGTTCGATAGTGAAGATGCCGCGTTATGATTGACTTCATCTTCGACGAAACGATAAGAGACATGTGGATGCTCTGTTAACATTTTTCAGTTCATTTAACGCTTTAATTTGTAGTTCATTATCATTGTTTATTTAGAAGTCCTTCACCAACACGTTAAGAGTAAACACGATGAGATACAGTTTGCCTTACTGACACCCAGCTGGGGGAAATTCCCTCGGTACAACATCTTGAGTAAAGGAGGGGGTTAAATAAGGAATGGTTAAAAAATTGCACTGACATGGACATACTGAACAATACTGATAACAATTGAATGGAACAATAATGAAATTATAAGTAAATATATACACTATGTACAACCTACACTGATGGTTAGATAAGTTAGTGCTCAGGAAATTGTACAAATTAAATCACAAGCTGTGTGTTATAAAAAATGTTTGAATATCATTTATGTGGGTATGAATGATTTCCCTGACAACAGAAAAATTCAATAAGATTTTATGAAATGATCAGAGGAAAGAGACATGAGGAACTGATAACTGTCTATAGACTGAAGGCAGAAAGGGTGAGCGTAATAATGTGTATCAAAAAAAAAAAATCTATATATTATGTAACACAAATTGTTTGATATAATGATTTTTTGTATTTTTTAATGTATTTTGGGGGGATGGGGATGTGTGGAGTTAACTCATAATATGGAGGCCTAAAACTGTACTGAGAATAACTTCACCTATATGAGCAGAAACAGAACAAAAATGTGTCCTTATATCTAAAAAATCCTGTGAGTGAATTCCTTATTTTGCAGTTTTTCAGTATTTCTTGATATACTGTATGAGCCACCTGCACACAGCCAAGAAGCAAAAAGAATTTACAGAAAATCAATTTCACAAATACCGAAATTTTACTTGCAAGAGTCCCTCTTTTAAAAGGTCAGCCAGCTCCTCCTGTGTTTCTGCACTCCCACACTCTAAAACAGCGTTCAATAGAAGACGATTAAAACTGTGCCTCTCCAGAGTATCATCTCTGAGGCACAATAGTGGACTGATCTCAGAGTCCAGTGGTGAAGATATTTATCATCCAATCTGTGTTTTCACAGGACGACAAGGACGAAGATATGTGCGAGGAGGAAGATCTGGATGGAAACAGAACAAATAACTGCGCCAACAGGAAGAGGCAGCTGTGGTGGGAATCACGGCAGGGCACGGATGAGAAAAATGTACGTCAGACCCACACACACACACACACACACACACACACACACACACACACACACACATACACACACACACACACACACACACACACACACACACACACACACAGGCACATTTAACAAAGCATTGATTATTGGTTAGGTAATGAAATATGCAATCATCTTTTGTTTAGCTTACTTATACACAAAATGTTTACTGGATGCCATTAACCATCTAACAAGAACACATCCTGGAGGATGTTTCTAACTTCCAGGACATGAGAACTCAAAACCTCCAAACAGCCTTGAAAATACAATGATGTGTGAAAAAGACACTTTTCTTTAACTTCAGCAACAAGCTTCAGACAACCAGACATCACAACTCCTCCTTGCATTCTTACAACTGATAACTAATGTTGGCCTGCAACAGTTTAGTTCAGCTTATCTTATAAACAGACACACTTTGGAGTGTGTTGTATTTGTGGATGGCAGGCCATGTGCATGGAAAGGACTGACGACCAAGGATTCGGATTTGTTTCATAAAATTAGAGTTTTATTAGGCTGGCCACAAAGAAAGAAACAAATAATAATATTAATCCAGTTCATTACCAAATGTCCCCTGAAGATAAACCTACAGTATAATACCTGATTTAACATCAAAATCTGTCTCTCCTCCTCACAGCCTTCTCCTCCTCAGGTGACAAGAACGCAGAGCAGTCTGCTGATTCCCCACTCCTTTTTTTGCCTTTATTTAGAGATAGGACAGTGGATAGAGCTGGACATTTTGGAGAGAGAGAGAGTGGGGACAGACATGCAGGAAAGGAGCCACTGATCGCATTCGAACCCAGGCCACCCGCTTTGAGGACTTCAGCCTCCGTACATGGGGCACGCGCACTAACCACTATGCTACCGGCGCCCCCTTACCTGCTTTATGGGCAACGAGTACAACAAAAAACACCCAAAACTACAGTCATCAAAATTCCCTCTCTTAAGATGCCTAATCAAAACAGAAATATTCAAGAAGTATGCTAAGTAAACATTCACTGTTCTTTTAATTTAATCAGATAATAACTCAAGTTCATATTTAAATAATACTTCCTAAATGAACCTTTCAGGAGCAAAACATTGATTCATGTGCATCTTTCTCTCAGCCTAAATATCAACATTTATTAAAGATGATTTGATGTTCAATGTGACTAAGTACACTCCACGACAGGATTAAAAAAACCTGTTTTATTCTAGCCCTGAAAAAAAGAAATACACAGAACCAAGCCTTTGTTAAAGTCTAAACTCAAGCTGAAATTGTTGATTTTTTGCCAGCTTTTGCCAAGACTCATCCCTGGAAAGATTTCAGCTGAAAATGCACAAACACACACACTCTCTCTTACACACACACATCCTGACCTTGTTCTCAAATCAAGGTCCGTAGTCTGTCTCCACCGGCCACCTCCTGAGGTTTAAAAGCTTTTAGGATGTGCAGACGCAGATGAGTGATGGGCTCGATTTACAGAGTAGTGCTGCTCGACTTTGTTCCTGCTTATCAGCGACTATAAAGAACGAGGAGGCCTTTGACTTCAGCAGCTCATCGATAACACACCTTGCCTTGTATGCTCTTTTCTCCCCCTAGCTCCTCTCCACTCAGGATGGCATCAGTACAACTGAGGTGGGGGCTGCTCTGGATTGAATCTGTGCTACTTATTCCCTCCCTCAGTCTTGCTGCAAGAAAAGGAAAACGCTGCAAATTGCTTTTCACACTGCACCTATTTAGAAAAGAGTTATCCTTAAACTGTGACAAACAGCTCAAATGTAACCCTGTCAGCCCAGAAGTTCTGTTTGTACTGCAGTTCAGTTGATCAGCTGTCTAACCTGAATCAGTGAGCCACCTCACCGAAGTGCCGCTGATTTGATAAGTAGGAATAAAGTGAGGACGATAAAGCTAAACATATCTGGTTAATACTTAAATACACAGCTGATTATAGGGCTTATTGTGACTGTAGATTAAGATGTGATTATCACTCTGCCATGTTAACAACACTGTACACGACTCTGTACACCACAATGTTTGATTGAAGCACCAACTACCTTGAACTACAACTTTAAATACAGTTGCTTGGATTTTCTATGTATCTAAAGGACAGAAAATGAAGCAGTTAAAATCCAGTTTCATGGTATGGCTGTTTGTTTAGATAAAGATTTGCAGTATGAAAAGCAAAAAAAAAAATCCCTGTACTGCCCTACAAAGCCAAAGAGTGGTAACAAACATGACATTTAAATAAAGAGTAGCCTACTATTATCTAGACATAAAAGCTGTTACTACTGTTTGTCTTTGTGGGGCTGAATGCTGAACCGTGGTGTGGTGTGATTCCTCTTTAACAAAAAAAAAAAAACGTCCCAGCATCGGGGAACAGAAACATGTTTGTAATTTCTGATGATGTTTGACAGGCTGTGCCAACCTCAAACGGGACGTCGTTTGATTTCGTCACCACTGAGAATGGACCCGTCTGTTTGGATTTGTACTCGACCCCGCAGTATAAAATGGACCAGACAGGCGACGGTACAGGTGAGCACATTACAAGTTTACTTTCTAGCCTCCTCCTTCCACTTCAAAGTCCTCATCCTCCATGACCTGACTCCCCCCTACCTGTCTGAGCTCCTCCACTGGCACACTCCCATCTGCACCCCTCCCTCCCTTAATAAGCCCCTAATAAGATAAAGTTCAGTATTCATGTATATATTAACTGCACTTTGGTGTTAGTTTCATCACTTATCACACTTTGCACTTGAATCAGCATTTTACAGAGTTTACATGTTACAGTCCATTTTCTAGTCTGAGCACTGCCGCCTGTGAATACAGCTGTTTAAAGTCCTCTAAAGGAGCTTTTTAAAGAGAGAGAAAACAACTTGAGACATCACAGCATTGACTTTCACCACAACATTAACACTTGAGAGTTACCACAAGATATGCTCGCACACAAACATGTTCACATAACTCTATATATACACCTCGTACTTTGCAACTTTTTTTTTAACTTACTGGGTTGTAGAACAAATGAAAGCTCAAAACAAAAAAGTTAGCGTTGCAAAGATGTTTTTTTTTCTGTGTTGTGGAAAAACCAGTGAGGATAGTTTGGCCTATGTTGCTCAGATATACACTGTTCTTATCTAAATGTGTGCCTTGTAAATTGTTCCAAACTTTTTCTTTTCAGGATTTACACTTAATCACTTGAGTGCCTCTCTGAACTTTAGAATCCCAATGAGCCCCATAACTAACAGCGAGTTGTTTTTCTGTGTCCAACCAGAGAAGAAGGACGAGTGTGTGTATGAAGTGTGTTTGCCTCTGGAGGATTCGGCGTTGGAGGGAGGAGAGGAGAAGTCTGAGGACACAGAGGATGGAATAAAGAAAAGAGGAGTCGGTGCGATGGTCAAAATCTTCCACTTCATCATGAAACAGAGCTACATCTGTGCTCTTATAGCAATGATGGTGAGTAATAAAGCCCACAGATGGTGTAACAGCGCCACAGGAGCTGGCGTCCAGACAAAAACAAACAAACCATTGCTAATGAAGATTTGACATTTGTTTTCCAGTTTGTAGTTTATATTAGCGGTTTAATTTGACATGACAAGAACACAGCATTATAACTGAAAGTAACAGGTTTAAACCCACGGACCTGCCTGAAACATGCTGGTGTAATTAGCAGAAGCCAAACACTCCTGCCTCCCTCATCAACTTCGATCAAGATACCTTTGAGCAAGGCACTGAACCCCGCTCTGGTCCAGTGGAACCACTGGCCGACCAACAGCAGGAAACTGTGGTTGTACTGGGCAGCGTCTGTGGCTGAATATCTGGCATGATATGACTCAAAGAGAGCATCTGTTCTTAGTTTAAACATTCCTGGATGAATCATAGTTAAATAAATTTGACTAACAGCTACTTTTTTGACTTGATGGTGGATTGGGAGCACTCAGACTCTGTAATTTATTAAATGGCACACGGAAAGTGGATTTTTTTTTAAATGCAGCAAAGAAATGAAAGTGCAACTAAACATGTACAAGTGTACTGTCTGCAATATAAGAAAAACAGGATTCAAGTAAACATTCTTTACATCTTTACATAGTAGATACTTATACAACAAAATAACTTGTGTCGACATCATACACATATTGCTGGGAGTTTTCTCACAGAGCTCTCTCCTACATTGAGAACACATTTCCATAATTTTGTTCACGTAAGTAGAAGAAATTAGTTTGAAAAAAGTTATCACCAACTTTAATTTTGAGCTTGTTGGCTAAGATTGTGATGACTCATGAATTCAGTATTAAACTCTGGCTAAAGCCCAGTTCTTCTTGTTCGTACATCAAGTTCTATGGTGTACTTTCTCTCTGCTTTCTCTGACTGAATGCAACAGTGTTCACAGAAAAGCATGATGGGAGCTCAATTCCTTTAGGGAAGAGGAAATCAAAAGGCTTTGTTTAAGACAACACATGCTGCTCTCGAACTTGAACTGAACTATTCAAAACCTGTGGAGAACTAAGAAACTCAAAGAAGAATTTAGGATTATTTGCAAGAGTTTTAATGAATGCCCAATAAGGCTGGGACAGAATATCGATACAGCGATATATTGTTATCCTGCCTCATGCGATGAAGTTATTGCTGTTCTTGCCGAGGTCTCCCTTGAGAAAGAGATCTCTGATCTCAATGGGACTAACCTGGATAAATAAAGGTTAAATACATGAAAAGTACAACTTGAAAGGTGTTTAATATTAATACACTCATAGAAAAGCAAAACAGACACAACATTTCTGTGAATACTTTTATCCTGCACTTGACCTTTTTAGGGACGATTTGTATTCTCTATTTTATCTGACACTGATTCTGTTATATCATTATATGATTATATTGCATTATTTAAATTATGACAGAATAGCTGTATCGTGATTTGACTCTTACCGTGGGCCTTGAATCGAGTATCGCATTGTACCCATCATATATGAGCTGCCTAGCTATGTCATAAGGCATGTTCTGACTTTGTTGATGAATTGTTTTTCTCTGATCCGTTCTCTTCAGGCGTGGAGCATCACGTACGTCAGCTGGCTGACGTTCGTCTTCCTCATCTGGTCTTGCATGCTGTGGATGGTGCGAGACAGGAGGCGATACGCCATGCTGTCTTCTCCCTTCATGGTGGCCTACGGCAACCTGCTGATAGTTCTGCAGTACATTTGGACTTTCGAGAACATGAAAAGTGTCTCGGGGCTCTTTGTCAAGAAGAACAACCCTTTCCACTCGCTTTCATCCAAGGTTTGGGACTAGAAATTAAGAATCCTCTTTCTTTTGACATTGCCCTTCCTGTTGACTCTAAATCATTAACACTAACCTTTAGAGTACAGCATGTGATCTAGAAACACGTTAAACAGCTAACAGATTCTTTCCCCTGAAAGTTAACATTGTCAGGCTGTCTCTCCTGTAGTCCATTAATTAGAAAAAGAGGAAAATCATGCAGTGTAGTCGTGAAGGAGAAGGTCAGGTTTGTAGTGTTTTGACATGTTTTGGAATAGTTCAAAGACTTTCATGTTGGCAGGCGCTGAACCCGACCTAAATGTGTAGTAGGTCACCACTAACACGCTATGACTTTGCTACATTCTTGCTACTTGTTAATTAAACAGTGCACTTGTGTTAGAGATATCATTAAAATCCAACCCGAACATCAAGGTCCTTCTTTGCTCCTTCTTTGTTTTGGCCACCTGTAATGTGCTCTCAGTGAGTTTAAGTAAATGCAGATGATTTGTGAGTTCGTCTCTTCTTTTCTTGCCGCTCATCTGTTTGTCCAAACATTGTGCGCAGGTTCTGTGTCTGCTGAGCTTCTGGCTGCTGCTGAGACAAACGCTCACAGAGAGACAAGAAAAACAAAAAGAAGACAGTGCTGGTCTCTCAGACGTTTATGTTGTGGACCAGGAGAAGAAGGGTAAGCTCTTATTTCATTTACGCTATAGAAGAACTGTTTTTTAGTTCATTAGTGTACGAACTGTAACTATACCTTCCACCATGAAAAACACTAACCTCCTATGATTGGCAGGTTTCTGTCATTTGTTAATACGTCTGGTTAAATGATGAGAGAGGCTGTTCAATTTTTAATATTATTTTCTTACATTTTTAAAGAGCTGGATTGTGAAAAGGTTTGTTATCTAGAGATTACAAGAAAAATGAGTCCAGATCTTGAGAAGACAACTGAACTGACTCGTCATCCAGAGAAAACAGAGTAAATAAAATGTATTGGTGCATGTCAGCTGAGGACTTTGCACAGTATATAACTAGATATGATGGTGTTCTTGTGTTTCACCACCTTCATCCTGTCAGCTAGATGTTCTTGTGTTACGATTCAATGTAAAGTCATTTACACATTTCTAATGAACAATCACATGAATGTCTAATTGTTTGTCTTACACCTGATTGGAGGGTTTTTGTCAGTTTCAGTTTGAGTTATCTCAGAGTTTTCTGATTGGCTTCTGTGTTTATAGAGGAGGAGGACTCTGAAGAGGGAGGGGAGCAGGACACCATGCACGTTCTGGGCAGCATGGTCATGGCTCTGCTAGTCAAATACTGGATCTACATCTGTGGTGGCATGTTCTTCTTAGTCAGCTTCGAGGGAACCATCGTCATGTACAAGATCATCTACATGATGATGTTCCTCTCCTGTGTGACGCTCTATCAGGTACCGAAACATTTTTTTTCTTTTGTGACCCACATGTTTCTCTTTATTTTCCGCTAATTCATCTTCACTGCTGAACTTTAATTAAAGGGGACATAATAAAAAAATCCACTTTTCTAGTGTTTTTGAACATATATTTGGGTAACCTGAATGTCTACTGACCCACAAAATGTGAAATAAACCCATCCAGTCCTTTGTTTGTAGTCTGCATAAGTCTTACAACACAGAGAAAAATGCTCCGTTACAAATTTGCTCTCCTTGTGATGTCACAGTGGGATTCTGGTTAAAAACCCTCCCCTCCCCTGATATCTCCCCCCATGGACTCCACCCCCAGCCTAGAACAAAACGTTTTATGCAGGTCCACCATTTTTATTCTTGCTACAGAGGAGTGATGTCTATGGGGAAAACTCAGGGGGGGGCTCATTGCATTTAAAGAGACACACACACCAAAACGGAGCAGTCTGAGAGAGCTGGTTTTTGTACAGGGTCACAAACCTTCTCTAGTGCTTGATTCATGTTATATTTTGACAGCACCACAGGAGACTGATTTAAAAGGTAGAAAAGGGGGATAGTATGACCTCTTTAATATTCTTAAAATATTCTTGTCTTCCTGTTTCAGCACAAACTTCTTAAAAAACAAAATGTTGACTGAAATCCAAAACACCCCTTTTGATGGTCACTCTGATTTTTTGAATTGATACATAATTCTTAGATTACAGGCGTATGAACAAGCACATTTTGATATCTTTTGAATATTTTGCGTCTTGAAAAAACAATATCAGATAAATAACTCTTTAATTTGTGAATAAAGAGTTTGATTATCTGTTTTGCTGGTAAGGCCATTTGAAATCAAGCTGGATGCATTAAAGTGATCTGTAATCATTTCGATAAGGCTGTTAACAAAGGGAGACTGTATCCGTACAGTATAATCCTAAATGAATGTACGGGTAAGACGCTGTAAAGCTTTCCAAATTTAATTTCCCAAGGACAGAAGGTTCTGACAACTAAGTCATAAAGTTTGTGTACAGCAGGCTCATAATCCAACTGTGTTATCACCTCTATCATAGTAAAACAGAACAGTCCTCCTAAATCTAGATGTCCCCTGTACGCCATGTTTAATTTAATGTATTACAGCTGTAAATGTCAACACAATCCTTCTTATCTAGGTGCACTTTGAGTGGTGGCGAAGGATCCTGAAGTACTTCTGGATGTCGGTGGTGATGTACACCATGCTGGTCCTCACTCTGGTCTACACCTACCAGTTTGAAACCTCGCCAGACTTCTGGTCCAACATGACTAACATGGACACAAAGAGGTGAAGTCAACTGAGCACAGCAGGTTTAAAAAGACTGACTGATGGTCTCATTTCCAAACCTGGCAACAGGGACAATTCTTAGGCACCTCTCTATGTGTTTTATCACAGGTCTTTCTCTCATTTCTGAGTTATTCTCTTCCTGATGACTTGACGTCATTGTTTTCTTTGTTTTCTTTTTTTTTTTTTTTATATCTGGGGGGTTGAGTGTAAATCAGGGCTTTTTAACTCTATTGTTCAGGGGGCCACATTTTCAGAAAGCCAAGGACCTGGAGGCCAGACAAGCAAGCCCAACACAGCAGTACACTGCGCCAAAGCCGTTTCCCCCCCCCCCATCAACAACACAAGCTTGTGATAGGCTGCAAGCACAGGACCAAAGATGTTCTATAAAATGGGAGTGCTGTGCTGTTTTTAAAACTTTACTGTTGCAACAATGACAGTCATTCACAGGTGTTCCCCCTGTTTATAAGTTATATTATATATTTCAGTTGTAAATAGAACTGATCCACGGGCCAGTCTGATGTCATCCGCGGGCCGGAAGTTGAATAGCCTTAGTGTAAATAAATCAAACTTTCTGTTTTTACTTTATATGGCAGTCTGTCCATCAGAAGAGGTGCACTTAAGTCTTTACACTAAGCAAACTAACTTTCCATATCTAATTATCATCATTTTTTAGTATAAAATTAATCAGAAATGTATTTATATTAAAATGTGCTATGATGCTATTTAATATTATACTATCCATTAATGGACTTTGACCTTATCTTGTTCATCTTTTGTCATGATGAAGCATATTTACAACATCCAAACTAAGAATTTTACTCACCGTAGAGTACAATATTAAATATGTCGCCTTGAATCTGATTTTTGTTTCCGCTTTTCTCTTATTTTTAAAAATTAATGCAGTTTGGAGGATTTGGGCCTGAAAACGTTTTCTGTATCGGAGCTGTTCACCAGGATTTTTATTCCCACGTCCTTCCTGCTCGTGTGTATTCTCCACCTGCACTACTTTCATGACCGCTTCCTGCAGCTCACAGACCTCCAGGCTGTCGTGGCAAAAGAGGAGAGCACAATCTACAGGTGAGACATGTTTGTGTAGAATTGTTTAGTTTTTTTTTTTTTTGTGTGTTTCTAATGATTCTTTTTTATATATTTTTTTTATGTGTAAAAATGGATGGCATAGAAACAGCCTGTTTAAGATACAGGTATAATGGCCTGATGGGGAATACTCCTGCCCAGATGGTTTAGTTATGGCCCTTAATTAAAGAACATTGTGAATGTCATATGATCTGATCTGAGCTTTAGACATTTTTTATAATCACTTTCTTTTACACTCTTTCTAACCACTGTCCTCATCACTCACCTGTTATTGTGTGTGCTTCCTACGCTCTCTTTCATCAAATCTTTTATCACAATCATGTTCACTAGGGATGAGAATCACAGGGTAACTTAGGATACAACTGTACAATCGTCTTTTTCCTTTTTAACAGTTGAATCTGTTATTTACACAAAAAGTAGAGATTTGAGAATTAGTGTTGCAAACTGTATAAACACTATGGTACTTGCGCCGGCTGTTTTCAGTTTGTCTATGTCTATTGTGTCTGTACCTATCAAATAAAACATCAAATAAAAATCCTAAGTTACCCTCTGTGTTTTCCACATTATTGTCTGTACTGTTGTGGACCCTCCATTGTGTCGCTGTTGCTCGCTTTGCTCGTCTCGTCTCTGCTTCTCGCTGTGACCTGCTGCCATCTCACCTCTGCAACCCTCTTTCACACAGCCATGCTAAAGTCAATGGGCGTGTCTATCTGATCATGAATAGGTGGGTATCTGCTCGCTTTCTGTGGCATCCACCAACCATCCCAGTTCACCTCTGAGTCTCTGCTTCCTCTTCCTCTTCCTCTTCCTCTTTCATTCCCCGCACTTGACTCAGCTCTGACAATCTGTTTTCTCAATGATCTTCCGAGATATTTTGTCCCTGGTTTAGGAATTTCCTGCCATGAAAGGTGTTTGTTTTCAGGATTTGTGAGTTATTATTTTGCTTGTAGCCTTCTGCTTTTTAGGCTTCTGTTGTCTATCTGGATTGTTAACCCACCTCTAACACCCCCCCAGCACAGATATATTCCCAGTAAATCCCATCTTCATCTCTCCGATTGTTTAAAAACTCTCAAATAAGCATGTTTGAATCTTAAAGAACTGTTCTTCTCATCTAATATCTGGATCCCTTTACCCTTTTCTGCACTGGAAATAAGCCCCTTCCTGAAAAAGCTCGACCACCCCAAACCACAGGATCCTTTTGGCCAGTTCCATGCATTTCTATATAAATACGTGGATATTTCAGTTGTTTTCAAGTGTCAGTTTCGGTTTCTGTCCTTACTGTTCGTCTTGACGTCTGTGTAACTTTATTGTTCTGAGCAGCATCAAGCGAAGAATTCCAACTCAACAGAGCAAGTAAGTGTGAGCACTGGATAAACAAAATGTTTGCCTTGGTATGTGTTCTGTTCATGCAAGCCAAACCCGACCTTTGACTTCCCCATTGCCTGAGAAGAATTTAAAAGGTTAACTCCTCCCATCAGCTTCTACCATTAATCTGCTGCAAGAAGAAAATCCCTCAGAAACCAAAAAAAAATCAACACAGGTTGTTTTAAGGAATGCAAAAGGAATGTACACTGCCTTCTGATGACAATGCCTGATGAAACGGTTAGATAGTGACAGTTAGTGAACCCAGAGGTGATGATTCCCATCCCACATTTGCATCTTAGGCTTTTCAGAATCACACAAACCATTTGAATAAGTGAGTATTTGTATACTTGTGAGGACAGAATTCATTCAGCCACCACACTGTTTATTATCTACTCACTCATCATTTATTCCAATGTACATAAATACAAATATATTTCTATATATGTGAACCTATTTTGCAAACGCTGCTGTACAGGGTTGCTGAAAACAAAGTTTCGTTGTGTTTTTATACAATGACAATAAAGCTTCTATCTATCTATCTATAAAGGTAAAAGCAATCTGTATTGCTAATTCTTGTGTTCTTAATATCCTTTTTGAATTGCAAAAGGTTTCTTTTAAGCTGAGAATTAAATTCAGCAAACATGGATGAGACGTCTTTTTAAATCTGCAATTCAATGACACCTTAACAAAGTTCATCTGCTGAGGAAGGCAGCTTGATATGAACAAAGGCACCAAGAAAACTATGAGTTAGATCCTGTAGTGTTAAGATTTTTCTAAACTTTGACCTACTAGGTCCAAAAAAAGACCAGCTGCAGATAAATAAGTAAACCAAAATAACATAAAGAATGTAAAAGAAGTCAATTCAAGTCCTCATGAGTATAGAGATACACGTGTGTGTGAATCTGCATGAATGTGTCTATGTGTGTCATAACATCTCATGTGTCTTCAGGCTGGCGCACCCCGATGGCAGCCTGGCGGACCTCACCATGCTCAGCGTCAGCTCTGTGGAGGCCACGCTGCCCAGAGAGGAGCTGGAGCAGCAAGAGAAGCACGAGGAGCTGCGAGAGAAGGAAGAGCGAGGAGAGTGGGGGACAGAGCAGGAGAAGGATCAGGCCCTGGTCGTGGTGTTGTGTGACACAAAAACGAGCGACGAGAAGCCCAGAACGTTCTCTGACGGGCGACAGCCAAGCACAGATGAGAGCCACCAATGCAGCGCGGGGGGCGAGCCGGAGCCGAGCACAGAGCAGAGCTCAGGTACAGAGCACCCCGCAACACACACGAGTGAACGTGGAGTACTGCTATATCATTTTAAGACTAAGGCTGTCAAAGCTTTAGTTACTAGTGATATTTTCAATATCTTCTTAGAAACCACTAGTTTTCGGGTGATGCAATATTACATAATCTCATATTATGGAAAATTACCAGAGCTGTAAAAAACTACAAATCTTCAGTCACATTTTTTGGGCTGCTACAAGAAATAGACAGAGAGCAGTGACTTCTACTACTGATGTCTTAAGTCCTTATGGCATCTCATAAAGATGCAAAAGATGTTCTTATAGTTCTCATAAACAGACAAGGAGTAGAAGAGACCACAGGGATTGCACAATGATTGACACACAGATTGGTCCCAAACACAGTAACATGATGAGAAATACAGACAAAGACGAGGGTCTGTGCAGCTAGACATCACCAGACATAATACATGGACGAGGAACTCTTCAACTATTTTGTCTGTTTTTTGTCTCTCTTAGCATTTCAGTGTGGTACAGTGTCTTTTGTTGGTCCTTAAAATTATGACTTTGAACATCTTCTGTTTGAGTCCTTGTAGAATTAAGCTTAAAGGGTTTATATGTTGTCACCCTGATGGTTTACTTGGCATGTAAATACATATCATGTAATCTCACCAACATATTTTCATACATAGTGTTTGAAGTTCTTGAGAAAGATGAGTTCATTTCATTAAAAGTGATAAAGTAGTCATCTAGCTGCTGGTCTGGAGTCTCAGTGACTGGTTACATGAGAGTTTTATTTAAACACTCCTGCGTCTCGTGTGAGCCTTTGGGTGTGATGCTCAGTCTGTCTGTTTCCCTCCAAAGTACATTAAAGCTTCTCACACCGCTGGGTGTGTTTGCTCTTCCCACTGTGTTTACAGCTGGGACTCATGCCGTAATGTGGCCGTGTTTTTAAGCCAGGAGTGTAGCGATGTTTTCTTTCAGATCTCTCTCAGCCTGTAGCTCTGCAGTCTGCTCAGAAGAAATATGTTGCATACAATCTTTAAAGACCAGAGCTCTCCTCTAGGACTTAAATCTGCTGCTTCGAGTATCTGCTGCCTGCAGTACCACCAGCGACTCATTCATCATCTCGAGAAAAGCTGTAAAATTCTGGTGTGTTGCAGATTTTTGGGGTTCGGTGAGATTTACCTCCGGTTTTCTGTTTTGACACAGCTCATAGCTCAAGTGTTCACTTTCGTCCATTACGCCGCGCTGCTGAAGCCAACCAACGTTGCACCATTAGCATATTTACACAGACACTCACACTGGTCCTAAATTAAAATGTTGTTTATATACACAGAAAATAAAATAGGTGATAAAACCCGACCCTGCAGGGCCTCTCAGTTTATAATGAGCAGTGAGCTGTACGTGCTATATGCCTTCTCAAGAGTTTCTTATCCAAACAATGAGGCCTCTATTAAAACCTGAGATCATCCAGCTTTTGTGAAAGCGTAAACCCACCACCAAACCAAAGCTGGGGATTTAATATCCTTTGTGAGAATATAAAACCAAAATGTATGCCATCATTATCAGATAATTAAAACAACAGTTTGGAATTTGCTTGTTAACACAGATTTTAGTTTCTATACATTTAAAAATGAGATGTTATTGCCCCCAGAGGAAAATCTCTTTTCACATAGAAATCCTGAAATTCAAACACAACACTGAACAGATAAGAACATCCGATCATCCAACATTGACAGTCAGGAAGCTGGCTCAGTGCTGCAAGTTTTTGGCATGTGATGACTCTGGCATTCATGTCTGAGAATTTGGTTGCACGTGATCTTTGAGCAAGTATGTGAAACGATGGTAGGTGTTGCTTGTTGGAGAGGTTTAACATGAAGAGGAAGAGGGGAAGAGTACATCATGTATTATATAATGCTTTTGTAAAGCAATGGCAGGAGGTGAGAGTAAAAGACAATGCTCTTTTCGTGAGTAAAGAGGTCGAATGAAGTCTTTGCTAGGATTGTTTTTTAAGTTATTTGTGCATCAAAATGGTTTTCAAGTTTTTGTTTTTACACAGCAATAGAGCTGTTGTGAGGAGGAGACATTTATCAGGCTTCTGCTACATTGAACATCTGTTTTTTCAATGTGAAAAAAAGGACATAGAATGCCACCAGACTTATTTCATGGTGTAAAACATGAAATAAGTTCCAACTCAAGCTGAAACAGAATGGCTCTGTTTCAGCTTGAGTTGGTGTGTAAGAAGACACAAAACTAAAAGCGTTGAAACATGACAGACTGCTGTAATTAAGAGGTGAATCCTGGAAACACTTTTCTGTCGCTGCAGTCGTGTTGTTTTTTTTTGTAAGTGTGTCTGGTTTTGATCTCTTCTTCAGATCTGAAGAATAAATGGCACCTGGTAGTCGACCGCCTGACTGTGCTCTTCCTCAAGTTTTTGGAGTACTTCCATAAGCTCCAACTGTTCATCTGGTGGCTGCTGGAGATCCACATCATCAAGATCGTGTCCTGCTACATTGTCATGGTTTCTGTCGAAGAGGTATGAATCGAGGGATCTGACAAAACTCAGTGTCTGCATGAAGTCATATCTGCTTCATCAGTTGTATCCAAGACGCATTAGGTATTTAGCCCTGGTGTTCATGCATGACTGTATATAAAGCTGGACAACAGTTTCCACCTCCATCCTGTTGTACAAAACTGAAGTCAATTTACCTTACTGATAAAACAACACTCGTACGGGTGTTTTGATCGAGTCCACAGCAGAACAGATTCTAATGTTTGAAGCAGGCATTAACGTTAATGAAAAGTTGATTTACCTTGTGTTAGTGTTTGTCACATTTCTCTTGCCTTTTCTCCTCACACACAGCGCCACAAATGCTACATTTATCAACAGAGCTGTCAATCATGGTGTTGGATTAGGGTTAGGGCTCTTTATTGCATCAAATAACAAATTAAAACAAAACTTTAAAAAAAAGAGAAGAACCAACTCTAGGGATAGAAGCCATATTTTGAGAAACATTTAATTGACAGGAATCTTTAATCTCTAGCGCCAAGTGTTTTTGGCTTCACCTTTGGGAAGCTGTCATGTTGTCCAACTTTTTAAACAGTCCATTGCTCAAAAATCCCAGAAGAAGTTTTATCCATAATGCCCTTCTGTCCATGAGAATTATACTGTAAATATCCCTTTGTCCATATCATTCTCTGATCTCTGGATGTAGTTTGTCCTGTTTATAGTGTTGCCTTGTTCCTTGTATGCAAGGTGAAGGCAGACCCTAGATAACCAAGCTGAACCACCAACATGGACAGTACTGGTGTAGGAAGATCAGATGTTGCTGTTTTGAATGAATGACAAGTCAAAAGATACGCTCGCAAAACAAAACCCTTAATGTGTGTATAGAATAAATATATTTGAGAAACAAATTCTGGCTAACATCATTGTTAAAACTTCTTTGGACCCTGAAACAAAAACAAAACTTTGAGTCAACCTTTTTATCCCCTTTTGAGAAACCTCTAAGATGCAAACTCAATAATATACAGAAATATCATCATTACATAACATGTAGTGTTTATTAAATTTCTCTTTGGACTCGCTGCTTGTTTCTTCCATGTGTTCTTATTCATCAATCGCCTGTATTGTCTCTTCTGCAGGTGTCTTTGTTAAACTACGTGTTCCTGGTGTCCTGGGCATTTGCACTACCCTACAGCCAGTATCGGCCCCTTGCCTCCAGCGTTTGCACTGTCTGGACGTGCGTCATCATCGTATGCAAAATGTTGTACCAGCTGAAGTCTATAAAACCTCCAACTTATTCCCAGAACTGCACTGCTAGCATGGTGAATATAATCAGAAAATGCATTTCGGACCTCGTTGTAAACATACTTCTTGATTTGTGCATGTTCCAAGGATTCCTATCTTAAACATACATGCATAACACATCGCACATCTGAATGCATCCTCATTTAGATTATTTTCTTTCATGGTCAATATATTGTTTGAGAGGGAATGGTGCAGTAAATAACTTATCATATCACTTATTTTCTGTCCACAGCCAAGTGGCTACTCACAGCAGCAGATGGAAGAGTTGAAGAAGAACTCTCTGCTGTATAAAGAATTAGTGGAACCAGCACACTGGGTGGGCCTGGAGAAGCAAGATGACCTGCTGGGCTACCTCAGGGTGAGAAGAGTTTTCAGTTTACACTAGGGGGCATATGTGTTTACAATGGTGAATATTTAAATTAAGTTTAGGCAAAAGACAGAATTGGTCAAGTGTCACCTGCATAGCTGTGGAAGGAAATCAAGTATCAATCAAGAAGTTTCCAGAATTTAAATAAAGGGTAAGGAATGTTGCAGAGGGAAGATGGGAAAAAATTAACCACACTTTCTTTTCACAAAAAAAAGCTTTTATGACCAAGATAATTTGAGTATTCAGTCAGTTAACCAGTGTCTTAACTGTGTTTCATCAAGTGTCTATTTTCTACCAAAGAATTTGAAAAATAAATTCTGCCTCCCACCATCTGTGCAGAACAACCTCTTGATGCTAGCTCTGTTAGCATTCGAGGTGACGATCTACCGCCATCAGGAATATTTCAGACTGAGAAACAAACTGTCACCTCCTGCTGCGAGAATTATCTTCCATGACATCACACGGCAGCACCTGGACCTCGGCATCATCAGCTTCATCAAATACTTCATCAACTACTTCTTCTACAAGTTTGGACTTGAGGTAGAAACAACTAAAAGAAGTTCAGAATACTTTTTCCCTCTGCAAACTTTTGCTTTATTACTTTATTTGTGTCGTGGTACGTTTTCTTCAGACGTGCCTGCTGTTGGTGGTCAACGTAATCGGCCAGCGTATGGACTTCTACGGCATGCTTCATGCCTTTGCTTTGATAGCAGTCATGCATAAACGCAGAAGGAAAGCCATCGCTGAGATCTGGCCCAAATACTGCTGCTTCCTGGCCTGCATGATGACTGTCCAGTACTTTGTCTGCATCGGGATCCCACCAGCAGCCTGTAAAGGTTTGTCTGATCCACATTTTTACACGCCATGTGTTTGTTATTTTAATTGAGTAAGCATTTAGAATTTTAAAAAATGTTCCCAAAGCACTTGATGACTTTTCTTATTTCTTTATTCCTGCAGTGTAGCCTCATAGCTGAAGTATTGAATTGATAACAGAAAGGCTGCTTATCTTTGTGTTTGGTATTTTAGGCTCTTTGTCTGTAAATTCTCTGTCAAACATTCATTTATCCTTACTAAGATTTGTACTTTAGATTAACCTGATTATGTTGAGTTGTGTGTAGAAATGAAAATGTTTATTTTACAAATGAATATCTGTGTTGAAATAAGATATATGATGTACAAGAAATATAATTCAGTGGATACCTTCTTCGAGACAGGAACCAAATAAAATACTGCAGCACACAAATCAGTTAAGGCAGATTTAATAAAGGAGCAAAGGACTGACGTTTCAACGCACTGCGACTTCTTCAGAGTCAAACGATAGATAGAGAACACTGAGGCCTTAAACTGTGTTACACATCATACTAGAACAGGACATATCATTAAAGCTGTCGTTTCTCTGTTTTTCTGATGTTCTTCATGTGTTTCACTTGTAACCATGTCAAGGCTCTTAAAGGCATAGCTTATCTCTATATGTGGATCACAAATAACAATGTAATGACCTATGTGTTAATAATGGTGAATGTTTACATTTCAGATTACCCATGGAGGTTTCCCAACTCATCTACAGACTCCAACGTGGTCAAGTGGCTCTACGTTCCAGATTTCCTCACCAGACCCAAACCAACGTTCCTCATCTGTAAGACGTCGTTCAAACTAAACTAACTTGTTGTAGAGGTCTTTTATATGACTATAGTTTTTAAATCAGTGTTTCGGTAGCGAATCTGTTCAGTTGAATTTAGCTGTATCCTCTCCTCACTCCTTTCCTAGATGACTTCATGTTGCTGTTGTGTGCCTCCATGCAGAGGCAGGTCTTTGACGATGAAAACAAAGCTGCAGTCCGTATCATGGCTGGGGACAACGTGGAGATCTGCAGAGATTTGGACGCAGCCTCTTTTAGCGTCCACAACCCCGTTCCCGACTTCATCCACTGCAGGTAAAGCAGATTTACTGACATTTTGCTGTTTTCACACAGCAGCAGAGACATGTATTCAGAATATGGAAATAAATCCTATTTTTGCATTTCAAATCTTAAATGTGATATTATTCTAACTATTTTATCAAATATGGCGCTGTCTCATGGTATCAGAGATCCACTTGGGATAGACTTAACTATATTAAGTATATACCTGGAAAGTAAGATGAGTGCTTTAATTCTACTTTGTCAATGCAACTTTACAAGCCCTTATCACAAAAGATCAAATGTAATCTAATTCCAAATAAATTAGACGAAAGCAGCATCTGGATTTAAGCAAAGAGACCTACATGCATACATATCACTCACTTTCTCCAGGAAATTAATCTGTGCCTTTTAGTTTGTGACAGCTACTTTATTCAGGATTTGCTCAGGTATTATTTGGGATGCAAAATGTTGCATGAATAGATACAGATGATTTAAATACGCTTTAGTGCTTAAGAATGATGTTGAACAACAAATACAAGTTATATTTTGTTTCTCTGAAATGGCTTTCAATAAATATTTTTTTAAATTATATTTTAATTTATTAATCTAAACTGGAGGGATCACTCAAGGGCAGGAAGAAACACTCGACATGATACACAGAGGCAAAATCTACAAACAGGAAACACTAAAGCCTAAACAAAGGAACATAAACAGGAAAACGCACACAGGAAATAGAGAAACAGTAGGTTGGAAAATGACAATAAAAGAGGAAATGACAACAACACAAATTAAACAACACTATATCATAACAGATGTTAATACTGCGGCTCGATCAGACAATCTCTCCTGCACTGACGCTGGCTCCAAATGTCATCACAAAAACAATAAGTCAGCGCCCGGTGTAGGGGCTAATTTCGGTTCAGTTTTGTACGGCAGGAGGAGGTGAATATGCGCTGTCCATCTTTATATACAGTCAGTAGTGGGTTGCTATTGTTTCTAGTTATCATTCATCAAAACTACATCACACAGTGTTACATAACTGGTTAGATTTGGGCTGAAAAGGCTCAACCCTAACCTCTAAATCCAATCTGCTCAAAGGCAAACCAGGTATCAAACTGTAGAAATCTTAAGTGGGGTGTTTCTGAATAAGAACTTCCTCGCTCATCAATCCCTTATCCTTGATAAATAAAGATGAGGTAAAACAAGTAGAGAGACAGTAGCTTACTGAGTCATTATTAAATAACCACACTAGCATCACTAGCATACATCATTCAGAATTCAGCTGCTGTCTGATATTTGAATCCAGAGATACTGGCTGTTGTCTTTGCATATGAAAAAATAGAGAAGGTTTTTGGAGGCAGAGAAATAGAAAGCAAGTTTGAAATACATGGAGAGCATCCTGACCTGTCCACAGTCATTGATTATATGCTCTTCACATTCCACTGTTTAGATGCACAAAGTGGACAAGTCTTTTATTAACGCACTCTGTGTCCATCAACAAGCCCTATAGTTGAGAGAAAGAGAGCAGTACATGCAGCCCGTCTGTCCACGCCAAAGCAGCTCTGCACTTATTCCATCGTTTTCCTCCAGGATCAAATTACGGCTACTAGAGATGAGGGGGGGGAGGGAGAAATCCATAATCCACAGAAACACTCTGTCCGTCACTCTGCGACTCAGACGCTTTTGCCCTGTACTCTAACTCAATAAATAGCTTTTAAGTATGGAAAAGGTATTTTCTCCCCCCTGATGAAGAAGGACACTCACTCAGCTATTCCGGCCCATCAACACATTGTCCGATCCTAACCCACTTCATCAAAGCTGCTTCCTAAACAGTGCAGCGGTTATTAGCGCCCCATGTTTTTCCAGGTGATCAGCTTCCTACACATCATACTAATGGTCTCTCTACGCTTGCATGCTTTTAGCATGTTAGACACAGGACATGCAGTGGTGCACCTGTGCTGTGTGACAGGGGTCAGGTTTCACTCTGGTTCACTTTTATTGATCAGCCTCTTACCGGTGTCCTGACGCTAAGTGAAACATTCAGTGTGATTGATGGGTCGATTATGCACACTGCAACAGAATGAACTGAAATGTTGTTTCGTCTCCTATCGTTGGGTGAACGTGAATCCTTATCAGCAGCTTACCTCTGCTGGCTGAGTCTGGGATATTAACCTTCAACATCATGGGATTGAAATCTGTTCATGGACTTTGTAGGATCTTAAAAGATTTTCTTAGATGTCATGAAGTTAGTTCTGATGCCATCAGGTGAAAAATATATGACGCTCTAGTCATGCCATAGTTGTTTAAAGAGCCCATATTCTGCCCTTTTTGGGGTTCGTATATTTAATCTATGTACCTACTTTTGTATGTTCACAATAGCTAAAGTCTGAAAAAAGTGTCTGTTTTCATGTACTGCTCCTCCTTGCTCCCTCTCCACTCTGAGTCCGTCAGCTGCACTCTGTTGAGCCCACACTGTTAGACCCCACGTGGGCCAAGTCTGCTCTGATTGGTCTGCTGATCTGCTCTGTCGTTATTGGTCAGTTGCTCAGCACGCGTCTCGGAAATTTCAACATGAGCTGCTGGGCTTGCCACAACGAGCCAATGGGCTTAGATCAATGATCTCACACTGACAATGACGTCGGACTGACAAATCTTTATCGAGGGGGGCTAGAACCGAGCGTTACATGCGGCTAATGCTACAGCTAACAGGAGGAGGTAGGAGAAGCCGCATTTCCGCAGACTTTGAATTTTTGCACATAGATGTGCCTAAACATGCACAGGATACATGGAAAACACACTAAAGAGCATATAAAACCAGAAAAAACAGAATATGGGACCTTTAAGTTAAGTCAAGTCGAGTAGAAGTTTATTTATGAATCACATTTGAAACAGACACAGTTGACCAAAGTGCTCTACAAGACAAAATAACAAATGACAGAACCACTCTTTTTTCTTTTTTCTTATGATCTATTTTTTTTTTGTGTGCCTTTAATGGAGATATAGGACAGTGGATAGAGTTGGAAATCAGGGAGAAAGAGTAGGGAATGACATGCGGGAAAGGAGCCACAGGTGGGATTTGAACCTGGGCCGCCCCTCCATACATAGGGCGCGCACACTAACCACTGCACCACCGGCACCCTATGACAGAACAGTTAAAATGAGTAAAATAAACAATAAAAACACGATGAATAAGAGCAAGATATAGTCTCATAATAAAATATCAGGATGTCTAGCTCAACTATGGGCTGTGGTTCAGTGGTTAAGTCAGACTCTTCACCAGAAGGTTGGTAGTTTGACTCCCCAGCTTCTGCAGACACATGTTAAAATGTATTTGGGCCAGACACTGCATAGCCAGCAGCATGTGAATGGAACAGTACATAGCATCCTCTACCATCAGTGTGTGGAAGTGGTGTGAATGTGACATGTAGAGTAAAAAGCGCATTGAGTAGTGGGAAGACTGGAATAATAATATACAAGTCCAAGTCCATTCATCGTTTAACTGGAGTTTAAAGCCTACACTTTACGTGGGTCTGGGTGGGTTTACAGTTGTTCTCTTGATAGTTGAAACTGCAAAGAACAAAATCATTTTTCTGTTGGGAAATTTGCTAACACAATGGTTTTGCTACCGTCCCCTAGGTCCTACCTGGACATGCTGAAGGTCATCATGTTTAGCTACTTGTTCTGGTTTGTCCTCACCATCATCTTCATCACCGGACAACGCGCATCAGCATCTTCTGTATGGGCTACCTGGTGGCCTGTTTTTACTTCCTTCTCTTTGGTGGCGACCTCCTGCTCAAACCAATCAAAAAGATCCTCCATTACTGGGACTTCCTGATCGCCTACAACGTCTTTGTAATCACCATGAAGAATATTTTATCTGTGAGTGGTCCATCACAAATGATCCCAACAAGATACAAAACATGTCAGCAATGACTAAATCAGTTTCTGGAATGGTGAAATTTGAAAACTGTCAAAATGAATTTGCATGTAAAAAAAGAAATCACTAACAACTTTTCTGTTCTTAAAAAAAAAAATACATGTGTTTGTGTTCTGCAAAATCAAAGATAATCACAAAGACATGTCAAGAAAATACATCATGTAAGTTATTGCATTCAAGTTAATAATACATTGTGCTTCTTCTTAGATCTTGGCCTGTGGATACATCAATGTACTGATCGTGAACAACTGCTGGTTGATCCAGTTACTCAGCCTTGCCTGCACCATCAAGGACTACAAAATCAACATCAAAGAAGGTGAGTGGACTCAACATTTTATATCCTGTGCATCTTGTAATTAAAAAAAATCATCTCACAGGAAGATAAATAATCCCCTTCAGCTTTAGAAGAAGCAGATGTCTGTTTAGGTTAAAACTGACAGGCACACATACTGCAGCATGTCAGTGGGATTTTCTCTCCCGAGGGTGTGAAGCTACAGGAAACAAATGATTAAACCACCCTAGTTTGTTTTCTGGCCATTTGAATCAAGCACAGCCTTATCATATTTTTAACCCCACCAAGCAGTTGATTTAAACTGAATATGGGCACAAACACAAAGACAATATTTGTCCCCATAAGAGTCTACATTAATATTAAAGCGACTGTGTGTAATTCTATGTACCGGTGCAACTGCAGGTTTTTTTTGTTTTTATTATTACTTTCTGGTTTTAACCCTTTTATGTGTAATTTGTTTGACGTATTCAAGGATGTTGTGTTCATTTTGCTGAATGTTTGTACGGCTATTGTATTTTTTTATTGTCAGTTTGTGATTATTTTAGGGTCTTTTCAGTTAATATCTGGTCCTTTAGGACAAATCCAATCACTATGTCTCCACTTCTGTTTTGCGTTAAGCACTCAGCAAGAGTTATAAAAATACAATCAAAAACTTTCAATAAAAAGAGAGGAAAAATAGGAGATTGCATGCATTTTACACTGAGACATGTCCTGAAGTTTACCTGTGTTTGGATGTGAAAACGTCCACACTGACAATGAAATTCTTCCAGATGTATGACTCTCAATCTGCTGATCAGTTAATGTGTTCTGAGTCAAGTCAATAGTTCAGTTTTATTAAAGACTTTGAATAAATACCATCTCCTTTGTTGTATGCATGTTGCAGCTGAAGACCAGTGTGATCTGCCCAGGAATGAAGCCGGCATCATCTGGGACAGTATCTGCTTCGCATTCCTGCTGCTGCAGAGACGAGTCTTCATGAGCTACTACTTCCTCCACGTGGTGGCTGATATCAGAGCCTCACAGATTCTTGCTTCAAGGTACACAATGTAGGCTGAGCTGAGGCCCACCAGTGCTACGCCGATATAGTTTATGACAATGTTTATGACTGTATGCAATGGTTAGATTTGTGAGTATACAAGTCCCTTAAGATTTAAAGTATTTGGCATTAATGTCATTGTTAAGTGTTTGTTGCTGTTTGCTGTAAAAACTTATAATTGTAACATTTAGAATTTTAAAGAGCTAAGAGTCCTCCAATACAGTGAGGCTATCCAGATGCTAGATCACAATATTAATGTCAAAAATAACATTGACATGTAAGAAAATAAAACCCTGCCTCTCTATTAACCAATCAAAATGTTTAAAAAAATTATTATCTGACAGCTTGGTGTTTCTTCCTCGTAAAAACTCTGGAAGTTTAATAAGGTTTAACTATCATTTTTAACTTCTCCACTGAAACTTATAAAAACTAATCAAGCAAAATTAAACTAGAATCCTGATGACAGATGTCCTTAGTACAGTTAAGCCATGGATAGAAAATTAGGGAATTAATTTAACCCCTTAGCTGCAAAGACGAACCATTCTGGCTTAAAAGAGAGATAAAGTTTCAGAACCAGAGGGTAAAGGAGTCAGTCAGAGATTTGTATGGATAGCATACATGTTGGGACAAGAATAAGTAAAATAGAGTCAAACCCCTTAAAGATTTACAGCTACTGTAAGCCTATGCTTGTTCACCAATTTGTGTTTCAGAGGGGCGGAGCTCTTCCAGGCCACCATAGTGAAGGCAGTGAGAGCCAGACTGGAGGAGGAGCGCAAATCTGTGGAGCAGCTGAAGAGACAGTGAGACTCTAAATATTTGACTTGGCTTTTGACTGTTTTTTTGTCTTCAAGGTGTAATAAGTAGAGGATGTTATATGAGGTTAGCAGACTAAAATAACTGAAAATATATATATATATATATGTATAATAATATGAGGGTGTGCATATCAAATTTGTTGATTTGATGTACCTCCGTGTCCACAGTGTGCACCAATATTTACACAAACCATTTCCTCACAGGAGCTTTAAGACAGAACTGTCTGAGGAATTTTAAGTAATAGAGATCCATAAAAATGATGGCACAACAAGTGCATTTTTTAGACAGACTTTGATTGGGCTTAGTTGCTTAAAAGAATTACATTGCTTCAAATCCGGCCTGTTTGATGGCTGCCAGCGGAGACGGGACAAATTCCTGCAGGAGAAATTCCAAATAATTTTGCACCATTTAGTCATTTAGATCCTTAAAATATTTGAAAATAGGCCCGAGGTGTAAAAATAATCAAATAACCCTACAAGTTACACCAAACCATGAAGCCTGGTTATGTTTATCTGATTTAATTTTAAGGATGTTTCATTAGTCCAAGTACAATGTAGGCATAAACATGACTTGGAAAGTCATTTCACCCCTGACTTTGTCTTTTATGCTTCCAGGAAGCCATCTCTTGTATGTGTATATGTATATACTACATAAAGGCAATGTATTTCCACCACTTACAGTTAGCTCAGGAGATACTCATAAGCACTGATAATATCCACTCACCCGCTCTAATGAGCACTCCAACATTACATAACATACACTAATTTCCATGTGAAGCCAGGGGATGTTTATGTGCTGTTCCTCTGTGTCGATACTTTGTGTCTCTTCACCGTCTCTCTGATTTAATCAGGATGGAGCGCATTAAGGTGAGGCAGCAAAAGTTTAAGAGGGGCAAGGAGAAGATGCTGAGCATAGCACAGGAGTCTGGAGAAGGACAGACCCTCGTCCAGCCTGAGGAGGATGATGATGACGGTATGATGAAGGCTGCCAAGGCCTCTCTCTGTGGAGCAATTGTTAGGAAAGTTTGTGTTTAGCTTATATGTAAGCTAGTAGTGATTGAGGAAGATGGGTGAGAGTGTATTAAGACGTTAAAATATGAAATGAAATGTATTTTCTTTAGTATTGGATCTAAAAGAGGAGATAAGTATAAATATGCCTTGAATTATACAGAATTATTAATTTTCTTATCAAATGTTGCATTGCTGTATTTGTGAAATTTTAGGAGCACAGCGAACGAAAGCCAAGACCAAAAAAAAGCAGTGGTGGAGGCCGTGGGTTGACCATGCTTCCAGTAGGTTAACCCCTCCCAAACCCCTTTTTTTCTCTTCCTCCACTCTGATTGGCCCTTGTGTCCTTGACCAGAATGCTGAGGATTCCCATACTGCCCCTGGGCTCTGAAGGCACCAACACACAGTAGCCTTGATCCTTCCAGACTTTAGTCCTTTTCTGTCTCTATTTAAGGGCCGTTGTGACCTGTAGCTCTCATGTAACTGTACACAGTGTGTGGGGAGGCTCTTCAGTCTCAAGATGAGCTCTAAAACCGTGTCAGTATCGGTGCGGAGCAGGGTTTCCTTAAATAGACACGGTGAGACAACAAAGAATGAGAAAAAGACTATTGGCTGGAGGTTTGTACTCGACATCATTTGAAACATAAACACCAATATTGGTTTCACCTACAGAGTCCACAGTAGAGAATCTCTCTGTTGTAAAACATTTTCATGCAAAGATATGAAGTCCACTCGCCTTTATTCTCAGTACTGGAATAAAGGATGAAGAATTTGTTCATTCTTTGCCTGCAGACATGATCACCAAATGGGTGTTACCTTGGAGGGAACAGCAACAACCATTGGACAAGTTACCGCATAACTCAAATCAGGACTTAATTGTAGATATATAAACACCAGCAACTCTTTGAGTCAATACAGAGGTGTCCTTTTTGGTTGGAACTCATGTCTCATATCATACTCCGCCCCCACATTACAAATTATTTCTCTACTTTATCTCCTCGTCGTCTGATGTTTCATCTCCATATCCCAGCATCCTCCCTCACTCCCCGCCCATTGTGGTTCTGTTCAAGGACATAAGTCAGCCCTGTCTGTCCCATTGCTTCCAACACTTAACTAACAGACAGAAGTCACTGGCTCTGTCGTGTAATTTAAAGGCTACTACTGGAGTAAGAGTTTCTAATAGACATGCTTCATTGTGCTTTGTGCTCATTCTTAAACAAGTCGCATATGTGTTTCTGATGTGTTTCCTTGATTTTCTGTTTTCACCTTTTCATGTTTGATGATTTTCGATTCTTAACTGTATCATATAGGCTAGGTTTAATGTTTTATATGTTCTAAATTACAATTTAATGGTAAGTGGTTTATATGGAGATATTATTGTTGCAAAACACTTGTGTAAACAGATCCACAAATGTGTACAGAGATCAACAAATTCATAAACAGATCCACAAATGCATACATAGATCCACAAATGGGTATCTTAAGTTCCTAAATAGATCCACAAATGCGTACATAGATCCACAAATGCGTGAACAGATCCACAAATGGCTATCTCAAATTCCGAAATAGATCCACAAATGGTTATCTCAAATTCCTAAATGGATCCACAAAATCCACAAATCCACAAATCCACAAATTCCTCAAATGCATTCATAGATCCACAAACGTGTACAAAGATCCACAAATGCTTAAACAGATCCACAAAAGCGTAACCTAGCGTATCTGCCAATATGTGGAGCAATTTGTAAATGTGCTCTGTGAATACATCTGTGTACAGAGCTGTATGTACATTTGTTGATCTTTTTATACATTAGCAAATTGTTTTGCAACAATAACAGCTCCATAGGTTTGATGTTCCTTTCAGCAAAGGAACCTTCCTTGAAACCTGTTTTTCTTACTGTTAACATGCTCTGTTTGACTGATTGTAGCTTAACTTTACCTTCTGCCTCTCAGTGGTTAGAAGTGGAGACTATTACTTATTTGAAACTGACAGTGAGGAGGAAGAGGAGGAAGAGGAGAAAAAAGAGGACGAGCCCCCAAAGAAGTCAGCGTTTCAGGTAGTTAAACTGTCAGTGCCAAACAAGATTAATATTCTGTCTGTCACATTCAATGGCTTTTTTATTATTAGTAACATTGTTCAGTGATTACTAATTACAGTTGTGATTACTTTTGTGATGCAAATTTTTAATTTGTTTATCATTCAAAATACAAGCACAATAGAACACATTGTGAACAAAGCTGAAAACACATCTAACACAATATATGTTTTTTTTCAATGTTCAAAGTTTAATTGTTGATGAACTGCATTTTTAATGACTGATAAAAGCACTTGTTATGAAAACTGAATACACTGGGGTTGGGACTTGCACGGTAAGTGGCAATATGATACGATAGGGTATGAAACTATACAATACAATATGATAGGCGATCAGTGGCCTACGAGTACAAAGATATCACACAAGGATTATTGATATATAAAACAAGACAACCATACAATTATACATTGTGATATCTGATTAACTGGGGGATATAAAATGTCCCTAAAAAGGTAAAGTGCAGGATTAATGTTTTTATTCACTGCAATGTGGTGTCAACTTACCTCTTGTCACGCTGCGTCTCTTCACTTCTTTTCCCAGCTGTCTGATGTTATACCACTATTAACTAATGTTCATGTTATCCTAATTCATGTCATAAGATCCACCATGAGGAGTCATGAAGTAGTGACATGACGAGGGAAATTTGCGCAGATTTGCACTATATTTTTTTGTAATAGGATTTCAATTTTTGGCACCAATGATTTGATAATTGTATTACCCAAGTCAAGACAACAATGTATTGCTGTATCAATATTTTGCCCCACCCCTCACCAACACTCAGGGGAATGTGATGATGATATAATTCTCTTTGTTCGCTGTCTCCTAACAAAGTAAACAGCTGCTGTTTCTGCAAATTTGAAATGATTTACTACTTATCCATTAATCTACTAATCTCTGACTCTGTTGTCTCTCCGTAGCGAGCTATTGGGAAGTTTCTATCTGCTGTTCTGGCTTTACCCAGGTCTATCATTAAGCTGCCTAAAACTATCCTGCAGTATGTAGTGAAGGCAGGAAAGGTACTAACCCGAGCTAACACAGTTTGCTTTCTGTTCAAACACCTGCCATGTTGAATATCAAGTAATGCCACAGAGTACTGACTTTCAAGCTCATGTTTGATGTTCTGCTTTGGCAAAAATCATCCAACGTTAACTGGAATGGAAATTATTTGACCTTTTGCATGTTCTTTTCTGAGCTTGACTGGATGCATGATGTAGTACTTTATTCTGACATGGTACTACCCTTTTTAAAAAAAAGTGTTTTCTGTCCGTTTGTGACTTTTCATGTGGTTTACTGCTTTGAGCTGGATTCTATTATTATGATAAGTTTTAGCAATTAGTGCTTAACCTTGTCCCTGATGAAGATTAATGTTTGTGTTTTAAGTAACCCTGGTGGTTTTGTGTGTTTCAGTGCATAACTGCAAATGTTTTCATTGTTAATATTATTGACTGGTGTCTTTGGCTATAATGATTATACACTGCAAACCATAAAAAGCTGTTCCTGGGATATTCTGTAACTCAGTAATCCATTTTGTTTGATTACAGAGTTGACAGATTTTCAATCAATCAATCTTCATTTGTATAGGGCCAATTCATAACCAATGTAATCTCAATACAGTTTACAAAAGAGCAGGTAAAAGACCTGACTCATTGTTATGTTACAAAAGAGCAGGTAAAATACCTTACTCATTGTTATGTTACAAAAGAGCAGGTAAAGACCTCACTCATTGTTATGTTACAAAAGAGCAGGTAAAAGACCTTACTTCTTGTTATTTTACAAAAGAGCAGGTAAAAGACCTTACTTATTGTTATGTTACAAAAGAGCAGGTAAAAGACCTCACTCATTGTTATGCTACAAAAGAGCAGGTAAAAGACTTCACTCGTTGTTATGTTACAAAAGAGCAGGTAAAAGAAGTCACTCGTTATGTTACAAAAGAGCAGGTAAAAGACCTTAATCATTGTTATGTTACAAAAGAGCAGGTAAAAGACTTCACTCGTTGTTATGTTACAAAAGAGCAGGTAAAAGACCTCACTCGTTGTTATGTTACAAAAGAGCAGGTAAAAGACTTCACTCGTTATGTTACAAAAGAGCAGGTAAAAGACTTCACTCGTTGTTATGTTACAAAAGAGCAGGTAAAAGACTCACTCGTTGTTATGTTACAAAAGAGCAGGTAAAAGACTTCACTCGTTATGTTACAAAAGAGCAGGTAAAAGACCTCACTCATTGTTATGTTACAAAAGAGCAGGTAAAAGACTTCACTCGTTATGTTACAAAAGAGCAGGTAAAAGACTTCACTCGTTATGTTACAAAAGAGCAGGTAAAAGACTTCACTCGTTGTTATGTTACAAAAGAGCAGGTAAAAGACTCACTCGTTGTTATGTTACAAAAGAGCAGGTAACAGACCTCACTCGTTGTTATGTTACAAAAGAGCAGGTAAAAGACCTTACTCATTGTTATGTTACAAAAGAGCAGGTAAAAGACCTCACTCGTTATGTTACAAAAGAGCAGGTAAAAGACTTCACTCGTTGTTATGTTACAAAAGAGCAGGTAAAAGACTTCACTCGTTATGTTACAAAAGAGCAGGTAAAAGACCTTACTCATTGTTATGTTACAAAAGAGCAGGTAAAAGACTTACTCGTTGTTATGTTACAAAAGAGCAGGTAAAAGACTCACTCGTTGTTATGTTACAAAAGAGCAGGTAAAAGACCTTACTCTTGTTATTTTACAAAAGAGCAGGTAAAAGACCTCACTCGTTGTTATGTTACAAAGAAGGTAAAAGACCTCACTCGTTGTTATGTTACAAAAGAGCAGGTAAAAGACCTTACTCATTGTTATGTTACAAAAGAGCAGGTAAAAGACTTCACTCGTTGTTATGTTACAAAAGAGCAGGTAAAAGACTTACTCGTTGTTATTTACAAAGAGCAGGTAAAAGACCTCACTCATTGTTATGTTACAAAAGAGCAGGTAAAAGACTTCACTCGTTGTTATGTTACAAAAGAGCAGGTAAAAGACTTCACTCGTTATGTTACAAAAGAGCAGGTAAAAGACTCACTCGTTATGTTACAAAAGAGCAGGTAAAAGACTTCACTCGTTATGTTACAAAAGAGCAGGTAAAAGACTCACTCGTTGTTATGTTACAAAAGAGCAGGTAAAAGACTCACTCGTTATGTTACAAAAGAGCAGGTAAAAGACCTCACTCGTTGTTATTTTACAAAAGAGCAGGTAAAAGACCTCACTCGTTATGTTATAAAAGAGCAGGTAAAAGACCTCACTCGTGTTATGTTACAAAAGAGCAGGTAAAAGACTTCACTCGTTGTTATGTTACAAAAGAGCAGGTAAAAGACTCACTCGTTATGTTACAAAAGAGCAGGTAAAAGACCTCACTCGTTGTTATGTTACAAAAGAGCAGGTAAAAGACTCACTCGTTGTTATTTACAAAAGAGCAGGTAAAAGACCTCACTCGTTATGTTATAAAAGAGCAGGTAAAAGACCTCACTCGTTGTTATGTTACAAAAGAGCAGGTAAAAGACCTCACTCGTTATGTTACAAAAGAGCAGGTAAAAGACTCACTCGTTGTTATGTTACAAAAGAGCAGGTAAAAGACCTCACTCGTTGTTATGTTACAAAAGAGCAGGTAAAAGACCTCACTCGTTATTTACAAAAGAGCAGGTAAAAGACTTCACTCGTTGTTATGTTACAAAAGAGCAGGTAAAAGACCTCACTCGTTGTTATGTTACAAAAGAGCAGGTAAAAGACCTCACTCGTTATGTTACAAAAGAGCAGGTAAAAGACTCACTCGTTATGTTACAAAAGAGCAGGTAAAAGACTCACTCGTTATGTTACAAAAGAGCAGGTAAAAGACCTCACTCGTTATGTTACAAAAGAGCAGGTAAAAGACTTCACTCGTTATGTTACAAAAGAGCAGGTAAAAGACTTCACTCGTTATGTTACGAAAGAGCAGGTAAAAGACCTTACTCATTGTTATGTTACAAAAGAGCAGGTAAAAGACCTCACTCATTGTTATGTTACAAAAGAGCAGATAAAAGACCTTACTCATTGTTATGTTACAAAAGAGCAGGTAAAAGACTTCACTCGTTATGTTACAAAAGAGCAGGTAAAAGACTTACTCGTTGTTATGTTACAAAAGAGCAGGTAAAAGACTTCACTCGTTATGTTACAAAAGAGCAGGTAAAAGACTCACTCGTTATGTTACAAAAGAGCAGGTAAAAGACCTCACTCATTGTTATGTTACAAAAGAGCAGGTAAAAGACTCACTCGTTGTTATGTTACAAAAGAGCAGGTAAAAGACCTTCACTCGTTGTTATGTTACAAAAGAGCAGGTAAAAGACTTCACTCGTTATGTTACAAAAGAGCAGGTAAAAGACTTCACTCGTTATGTTACAAAAGAGCAGGTAAAAGACTTCACTCGTTGTTATGTTACAAAAGAGCAGGTAAAAGACCTCACTCATTGTTATGTTACAAAAGAGCAGGTAAAAGACCTCACTCGTTGTTATGTTACAAAAGAGCAGGTAAAAGACCTACTCTGTTATGTTACAAAAGAGCAGGTAAAAGACCTCACTCGTTATGTTACAAAAGAGCAGGTAAAAGACTCACTCGTTGTTATGTTACAAAAGAGCAGGTAAAAGACTCACTCGTTGTTATGTTACAAAAGAGCAGGTAAAAGACCTCACTCGTTGTTATGTTACAAAAGAGCAGGTAAAAGACCTCACTCGTTGTTATGTTAAAAAGAAGGTAAAAGACCTCACTCGTTGTTATGTTACAAAAGAGCAGGTAAAAGACCTTACTCGTTGTTATGTTACAAAAGAGCAGGTAAAAGACTCACTCGTTATGTTACAAAAGAGCAGGTAAAAGACCTTCACTCGTTATGTTACAAAAGAGCAGGTAAAAGACCTCACTCGTTGTTATGTTACAAAAGAGCAGGTAAAAGACCTCACTCGTTGTTA